AAACGGGGAGGAAGGAGACAGGAGCGTGTATGCATGTGTATATATATTTAATTACAATAGAAGGATGCACAATAGCTGCCTGTCCTGTAACTCGAAGCCCGTTGTTGGTTTCTCCCACGCACCAATCACTCTGTCCGATGCGAAAAATCACACTTTGCTTATTTGACACACGAGAAACCGCCGCGGTTCTTTGTTTCCGCTTTCAATGAAACACATCAGAATGTGGATTCTCTCTGAATTCAGGCTGCTCTAAATATAAAGAGCACGAGCGACCACAAACATGCACACCCCTGTTGTCAGTATTGACAATGTCAGCGCCGGTGGCAGATTGTGTGTGTGAGTGTGTGTGTGTGTGTGTGGTTTTTGCAAGGGTGGCCTGCCTACCTGTATTCAGAGCAGATTAAACACACAAACACACCAAAGGGCCCTGCGTGTTTTTTTTTCTTCCCTCCTCTTTCTATTTCTCTTCCCTCAGGATTAGGCCAGATCGTTGTACTTGGCATCCCTCCCAGTTTGCACACATCACACCCCTAATTCATCTTTGTTAGAAATTCATCTGTTTTGCCCAACCAAAATGTGTGCGTGTGTGTGAGAGAGAGAAATGGAGAAAGAGATTAGCAATATCTACTGTGAATATCACTGACTACAGTCGGCACCGTCCCTTCTTTATGTTCGCTGTGGCATTAAGAACAAAAGCAGACAAGCTCTTGAAAAGGTTGTTTTGTTTATCGTGTGTTTTTTTTGTTTTTGTGCCTAAGTGTGTGTACGCCTGTGTGTGTGTGTGCGCACATGTTCCCTCAGACTGTCTGATGCGTCTTTTATTATCAAGTGTCATTGCTTCCCCATCTGCTGAAGACACGCTGTCTACCTCTGCTTTGACACACACACACACACACACACGCACACAAGAGCTGCGTTCGATGAAAGGAATAACTCAAGGTTAAGAGACACAGCCCTTCTCTTATGGGTCATAATCACAGCAACGGTGATTGGAGTACTCTGCTAATATTGTTTTTATATATCTATATATATAAATAATTAGGCTAATCACATCCCTCTAGCTTTAAAAGTCTTTTAGCCTGTGATGAAGGCAAAAAAGATGACGGGAAATACGTTTTGATTTCTTGCCTGACGCCTGATGAGAGGATTGTTTCTCCTCTCGTATTTGTGCTATAAATGAAACTCCTGGGTAGGTGGCTGCTGCTTAAACCGAGCAACCTGCCAATCAGGACAGCAGTTGATACAAGACGCCCAGCTCGAAAACCAGAGCTCTCTGATGACTTTCAGGACCCAAAAGAAAACTCCAACCCGCCAGTTTTAACAAACAAGTATATCAAAATGTAAAAAAAGAAAAAGGCAAGGCAATCAGGGTTTAAGAGCGTCTTATGATCTGCCAGGATTGGTCTCGCCGCCTCTGCAGAGGTGCGAATCCCCCGAAACCGCTAACTAACCCGGCTAATTAAAGCCTGCAGGGATGAGGTTTCCCTTTATGTGGAGAAGTGGCCGAGCCATAGGGGAGAGGTGCCAGACAGACGGACTGTGAACTGTGAGTGAGCCATTTTAGACTTGATTGAAAGTGAAAAGAGCAGCGGTGTCACCATCGCATCCATCCCGGTGGCCCGAGCAACAATGGGCGTTCACCTAGGAGACACAGGCGGAAAGAGACGGGGTCCACTGATCCGAAGGCGCACGTGTGCGGGGCGCCGTCGGCTGCGGGAATGATTCTGACGCTGACCGTCACCTGGACGGCTGAACTTCACAAACTCCTCCGTTGGGGGCGGAAGCAGGGGATCCGGAGACGAGTGCAGATAGTGGCTGATGGCTGGCAGGATGTAATTCAGACTGCTGTGAGTGAAGGTGGCAGCTTTCAGATCTGAGCTTTAAAGAATGCACTTTCTTGATTTCTGCTTCCTCTTCGGCTCTGCGGCGCTGATTTGAGTGAGATCAAATTTGGGGACACTTTGGGCAAATGGTTGGCGCAAACCAGCTCTGAGAGTGTGCATGTCAAAAAGCAGGAGAGAATTGGAAAGCCAATGTCTGACATTTTACAACAGTTACCGTGCTGCAACACAGAGTGTTTGAGCAGGAGGACTCAGTGGGAGGTCGTAACACTTTGGAGGACTCCTTGTGTCTATCACCGGCAGACGCACCAGCCTCTCTTTCTCCCTTTTTGCAGTCTGTTCCTCACGCTCAGATGTCTTGTTGTGTGCATATTGTCTTGGTCAGCAGCGTACAGTTGTTCAAAACGAGGGGTTTCTTGGTTTGTCATAAGTATTGACAAACCAAGGTATAGATTCACAGCAGACATTGCCCAGTGACCTGGATCGAGTTATTTGTTTCTTTTTTCTTTTTGAAGAGCAAACTCAAGACTAGACATGTAATCACTACTAGGTCAGATTGCTCTTTGGTGTGGAAGTGGTTACTGTGGAAAGAATCCAGGCTTGTCATTTCCAGTATCGGTAACAGCTAGAGGTATGGAGGTATGTCTGGGAATCACTCAGGTTGCTACTTTTACATTTGCAGTGTTGGTCTAGACTTTCTGTTTAAGCTTTCAACCTCGTGGTCATGCGGGATTTTGAAATATTGGCAGCCATTTGAGAATTACAGTCAAAGTAAGGGTCTAGATGCTTTAAATTAGATGTTATATATATATATATAATAAATAGGGCTAAAACTCTGGAAACTTGAGTCCAAAACACAAAAAGTTTAGAAACCTTACAAGAAGGTAAATCAAACAACACGAGGTGTGTCACTTCTAAGAGCGACCTAGATGTCTGTGTCAGGTCATTGTGTTAGTGTGTCAACCCACAGATCACTCACTGGCATGCGTGTGGTTTCCTTGGCGCCGCGTTGTGTTGGCATGTCAAGGCGCTCGTCTGTTCAGATGCTTTTTTACACAAGCCAGGCTTAAAAATAGACCTTTGTGGAAAATACTGAAAAGGCACAAACATGCAGTTAAATGCAATCCAGGAACTCCAAAGGCTCATTTCTGCTGATCCGCTTGTTCCTTCGGCCGCTCGCGCTCGTGGCTCCGCTCCACGCCGTGCTGAATCACGTCCTGTTTCCTGCGCGCTGCAGACGCCCGTTCCTCTGCCTGATTGCTTGCGTGTGAAAATTTCTCACCATGAGGGCAGGATCTTTGGGGTTGGGACCCCAAAGACTTTGCCAACAGTCTCACCTCTTGAACGTTTTTGTATAATTCAAAGCATTTTGCTGTAGATTGGACCCTGCGCTAAAACAAAATATTTTGTTTTTGGATTCTGCTTCGGAGATGGATTGAAACATGCCTATTAGGCAGCCGTGCCACGAAATTACAGAACACAATAGAGCGGACGTATTAATGACTGTGTCAGAGCATGTGGGACTAAGTCAGCGAGCTTTAGATCTGTGCCTTTCCTTTGCCGAAGACGCGTTTGTGTTTGCTTTTTGGTGGTCTTGATATACTTAACTTTGTGTGTTTTTGTCTCCTCTCTTTTTTAGCTGGGGAAACAGTAGTGAGCTTGGGTTTTAGGTTGGATTTGGTAATCAGTTTTGTCACGCACACTCCTCGCCTCGTAAATAATTGACCTGTCACAGTTGGATGACATGGCATAACTGATACTTTTACTTCCCTCCTCAATTCCTCCTTTGTGCTCCTCTGTTTCTCCTCCCGTCTTATTCCGCTTCATCCTCCGTTCCTTCATTCACACTTCTTTTCCTGCCTGCTTCTTGTTCCGTTCTGTACTGTATTCTTTGCTCAGTTTGTCCTTTCTTGTCACAATAATCCCTTTTAGAACTAGAGCTACAAAAGGTCAGCTGAGTAGGTGGTACGAGTTTTTTTTTTTTCTTTTTCCTTCAAGATTTGTCATCAAATGCCAGTCAGTTCCAAATTTTGTCAGCAGACAATGAGGCGCTTGTTGTTTTTTCCGTGCCCATGATGCTTTCAGGGTCACAGTGGGCTCTGTAGGCTTTTCTCATCGTTCAGTGGGGGGAAAAGGCAGGGTGTGCTCTGTGTCGTCAGTCCACCAACTCAGGGACTAGAAACAAATGGTTAACTTAACACACGTGACCTGGACAGCGGTGGGAATCACAGAAAAACCTGCTTGGGCATAAAAGATACATTTCTCCTGCTGATGCAGTCTGCCTGATATCCTTTAGTCTTTAAAGTTGCAGGAAGACACGTCGATGGTGGAAGAAGGTGTTCTGATTGGAAAATGTGTTACAGATAACTTTTGATTTGGTAGAACCGCAGGTCAGAGCCCTGTGGTACCCCACAGTTCGCCTCTTCTGCGATATACAGATCTCGGGTTATCGAGTTTGCTAAACATTTAGCGTCCAAGAAGGTTAAAACCCTTTAACCCTTTAAAACCATTTAACCTTCTTGTAATATCAAGTAAAATATTACTTGATCATGCATTTTACATCACTTCAGAGTTACAATTTCCTAGACGATCGCTGACACTGAGCTGGGATACTGACTGGTTAAAAAGCAAAACATTCAGTAGGAAAACAACTCCATCCAGCTGTTTTTGAAATTGGTTAACAGCTGGTTAAGTACAGCCAATTATGCCTGATTTAGTGCAAAGTGTTGTGAAACACTGTCCATTAGCTGCGGAAGAGGAGCCCAGCAGAGGACTAGAGTAAATGGTCAGCTTGGTGTGCGAAGCGGCCCTAAAGATTAACCGTGCAAAACAGAATTAAAGTTAATTTATTTAGCCGGCCATCTTTACCCACCGGGGAACTGAATGTGTGTCCGATTTAAAACTCATCCCACCCTTTCAAAGCCCTTTTCTCTAAAGGGCACAAATGCTTCGTCAGACGAGGCAAACGGTACCGGCACAGCGCCTTGTTGGCACAGCGTCTTCACGAAGTTTGTTTTGGTCCGATGGTCCGTGGTTGTAGATCTCTGATTACCCTGTTTTACTTTTTTCTTGCCTTCTTTGGACTTTCAATTGTCTGCATTGTGGAAAGTAGGAAAAGTGTCTCACGGTTCGCCCTTGCCTCCTCCCTGTGTCTTCTAGGGTTTCACCTGAGCGGCACTGTGACCGAGCCGGCCACAGCCTCGGAACCGGAGGTGACCCACAAGGTGGCAATCAGCTTCGATCGATGCAAGATCACCTCGGTCACCTGTGGCTGCGGGAACCGGGACATTTTCTACTGCGCACATGTGGTCGCGCTCTCTCTCTACAGGATCCGCAAGCCTGAGCAGGTAGGAAGTCGAAGACGTAGGGCGCGGACGGACGGCGACTTACCGGAGTTTCCCTTGTGACCTCAAAGTTGAATTTGTTTAATGTGATTGACCCACACAAAGTGCATCGAAATTTTAAAGGGGGAAAGATGAAGAGTTTCATTTGCATTCAGCTCTATTTAACTTTAAATGACTATCTTCTTCCACTGTACACCACGCCGTCTTGGTTTTTCACATAAAAAAACATAATTTCTCTGTCAAACCTTTTGACTTTTCTGTGTTTTGTTTTGTTTTGCAGGTGAAGCTCCGGTTGCCCATATCAGAAACACTGTTCCAGATGAACAGAGATCAGCTGCAGAAGCTGGTCCAGTATCTGATCACTGCCCACCACACTGAGGTTCTGCCCACGGCACAGAAACTGGCCGACGAGATCCTCTCCTCCAACTCCGAGATCAACCAGGTTCACGGTGAGACTCCCCAGCTGCCTCCTTTCAAACTCTATCTGAAGTCGTCTCTTTGGACAACTTCTTCGCCGTCTCGCTTTCGGACTGAATCCGTCGGGCGACAGCCGGTGCAGAAGTACAACGCTTTTCCAAATCCTTGCAGTGAAGTAGTTCCTCTGTGGCGGTCCAAACCATCGGCTCTGCAGAGGTATCTCCACAGTTACAGGCCAGACATGAAAGACGACCGACTTAGGGGGGGGGCTGGGGGGGGAAAGCTTCTTGCTAGCCCACGGGCTGCCACATGTCCAGGCACCTGATTACTCTGGTGGCGCAGCAAGCCGGGGCTTCAAATGCCTCATTTGATTTCTCAGTTTCATCTTTGCAGCCGCCACCTACCCCCTCCACGCCTCCCACCGACAGAGGCAGGTTGGATAAATCACAGGGAAAGGGACTTGATTGATGAAATGGACGCTGGAGACGACACAGGCAAAGACGTGGGAAGAAGGAAAGGGGATGCTGACGGGGGTGATAGAGACCGAGGGAAAGGCTTTCTGGGAAACGGGAGAAAGCAGATGAGGGGAGAGGAAAGATGAAAGGGTCGGAGAAAGGATTGAGATTAAACAGAAGCTGAGAGCCGTAGCAGCTCCGCGTCTCGGGAACGACAACAAACCAGACGCATCCTTTCACCAAACAAAAGTCTTTATCTCCGTCTCCGTTTCATCCTGCTCGCTAAATGTTGACATTCTCCAACGCTTGCGTCCAGGAAGCCCCACGCTGCGCTTCCTGTCCGGTGTTTGACAAGAGGGATCATGGGGGTTGGAGTTCAGGCAGTCCAGAAGCGAGGGCGCCTTTGATGGAGGAGCGTTGCTTGTTTGCTGCTGCGCTCTCCCGGCCGGTTTGGAAACCCGTCCCTGGGTTTTCCTCAACTCGCTTCCTGCGAGATCAAAGCATCCTGCCTCCAACCCCCCCACTGGAGCACATCTACATTTCTCCGCAGTGCTACTCAGACACACAGAGACACACACAGTCAGAAGAAAAAATAAATTTGGCCCCAAGTCGAGCAGCATTTCTTATCTGGAATGTAGGTGCACTGTAAGGTTTTGCCAAAAAGAGTGAAAAGAAACGCAGAGTTGAGACTTTTCATTAGCGTTGTGCGATTGCATCTTGAAAGAAGTGTCTGTATTAAGTTGAAGATTTTACGAGTCCAGTTTTTTTTCATGCCGTAAACAGCTCCTTTGGTCAATTTGAGCTTAGAATTAAGAACAGAACATATCCATGTAAAATATACGCTTTATTCTACTAACACCAGCTTTAAGACGGGGCTGGCGCTTCTCGCTGTACTTCCAGATTTCTACACTTGTCATTCACTGTCCGTGTTCATCTTCTCAGGTGCTCCAGACCCGACTGCAGGCGCCAGCATTGACGATGATAACTGCTGGCATCTGGACGAGGATCAAGTCAGGGAGCAGGTCAAACAGTTTTTGTCGCAGGGAGGATACTACGGCTCCGGAAAGCAGCTGAACTCCATGTTTGCAAAGGTTCGCGTGACCAAATCATATGTGTGGATTAGAATGGGATTTACCGTGTAATTCGCTTTGTCAGATTGATTGTTTGCACCTGAAAACTTGAAGGTAAACCTAGCAACAAGGGTCCTTTGGATATTGTGTTTCATCTAGCTTAAGACAACTTGAGTGTGTTTGATTATGCTTTCTGAAATACCTTTTCTGGCAGAATGTGAGATTTGAGAGGGAAGCAAACTCTCATGACTATCACAGGCTGCTAACCAGTCATCAGAGTATGCTAACATTTTAAAAAACTGTCTTTTAAAGTCTTGAAAACTTTAAAATTTACTACAGGCCAGAGGAAAACTAGCGCATAAATGCCGTTTACTTGAAAACAAATTGTAATACTTGCATAACTAACTTTACTACAGCAGATGATTGTTGCTACGTTAACATATTAGCTAATGTTACCATGACTTGTGACCTAAAAGCAGTGTGTTAGTTCATATGAACATTATACCTAGCTTCAGTTTAGCAATATGTGCAGTCGATAGTCATATGCTAACGTTAGCATGTTTGTCAGTGTTAGTATTTTAGCTAATAAGTTATTTAGTACATGAGCTACTAGGATAGCAGTTAAAATTAGCTGCTGGTTGCTGACATTTTACGTTGTTATCTAATACTGACTTATATTCTAATGTGAGTAATTCCGTAATAGGCGTAGTTGGTAATGTTTGTACTGTGTAGCAACATGCTAATGTTTGCTTATTTTAGCATTACCTAAGTAACTCTTGTTTTCTCGTGGTTGGTTTAATACAAATACACGCTGACACGTTATTTGCAAAACTGAGGAATCATGTAAATTGCCACATAATATTTTTAATTAGATCATGTTTTTAAATTTTGTGCAGTCTTATGCAGTATTTTTTGTTACATTTCTGCCAAGCATTTTAATGGTTTATTCTATCTTAGGTACATATAGCTGTAGCATCTCCAGCCTACATAAATTACACAAAATCTGTTTAATTTCCTCACTTGCAGACCTACATAGCATAAATTTTTCAGTGTGAAAAGATGGGAAATGGTGCAACAGCAGATTATAAAATGAGAACCTTACACTGGCCTGTGTCCACATCCAAAACATTTGTGTAACACTGGGCTTTCCATTTGCGTGCTAATCTACTTCTTTTCTGTAGTATCCAATGAAAGTTGTTAGACTTTCTACAGTCTTAGTTCTGTGTTTTCCATTCACTCTCATCTTAACATACAATTTCCATCCACCTTTCAATTGTGCTCCTGTTGGACACTCGCCAATCCTTTTTTAACTTTTTTTTTAATCGCTTTCATTACTAAACATGCTTTCTGCCAAACAGTGCTCAACGTTTTCACTTCTTTAAAGGAACTAAAGATTTCTTCAGTCAGTGGTCGGGTTTCCTACGCAGTCTGACGTCCAGTGAATGTTAGGCAAGCATAGAAAAACACTTGCCTAAATAAACAGAAAATAGTTTGAAACCAAAGGACAAAAAAAAAAGAATACGTCTGCCTTCCTGTTTTGCTTTTTTCCTCCATCTGCTCTCAAACAGCTGCTTTGACTTTACCGTTGGGGAGAACGTAGAGCATGTTACAGTGCTGACTTTGTTCCAGACCCGGTGAATTCCTCACAAGCTGCTGATCCTTTCAGGTACGGGAGATGCTCCGGATGCGGGACTCCAACGGCGCTCGAATGCTAACGTTGATAACGGAGCAATTCATGGCAGACCCTCGACTGTCACTGTGGAGACAGCAAGGCACAGGGATGACGGACAAGTGCCGGCAGCTCTGGGATGAACTGGGTAAGAGGCTACACACTACCAGGAAGGCAAATTTATCATTTTTCTTTACGATTTTTTTTTAGGCGACTTGATAGTGGGGTTCACAGGTCACTGCAGGTCAGGCAGAATCCTTCAGCCGGGACAAATATGGATTCACCTAGTTTGGTTAAAATGTAGGAGGTTTTTTTTTTTTTTTCCCCAGTGGACGGCTGTTCACCCTCTTCCTCCCAAGCTTCTCCTCTTGCTCTCGGCATGCGGCGAACGATAAAGGCTTACGGATCAATAGCGCTGCTCAACTTCTCTGCAATCAATCTCAGCATTTAGGAGGTCAATAAGAACACTTCCCGAGTGAGCAAGTGAGATCATGACACAGACAGAAATAACAGCCAGACGGTCAGATCATTTTTCTCTGGGATGCAGGCGTCTGACAGCTGGCACAGCTGGGGGGGAGGTGTGTGCGTAAAACAAATACTGATCATCTTGTTTTTTGTTGTTTTGTTTTGATCATAATGTCTTAAAAGTAACCCCAAATCAAATTTGACCTAAAGAGAGTTTTGTTTAGATTGTTAAAAAAAAAACCTACGTTCGGTTTTCTTCGTCTTTGTACATTACGAAACTATTCCTGCCTGCTGATATTTTTCTCATTTTGCCATGTTGTAACCACAAACATAAAATATGTCATTGCGACTGAAATTGCATTCCAGAGCTTCCATTTCCTTTGGCTCTAAACACCTGACCCCCTTCCTCCTCTCCCGCTGCCCCCAGGTGCGCTGTGGGTGTGCGTGGTGCTGAATCCACACTGTAAAAGCGAGGAAAAGAGCGGCTGGCTGAAGCAGCTGAAGAAGTGGGGAGACATGGACGTCTGCCCGCTGGAGGACGGAAACTACGGCAGCGAGCTTCCGAACATCACCAACGCCCTGCCGCAGAGCAACCTCGCTCAAGGTCTGCACCAACGCGCGCGCCTCCTTTTTCCGCAAAGCTGCGCTTTTCAGGGCCGCTCATCACTGTCGGTGTTTGTGTCAGACTCTCTGTCCAGACCGAGGCGGACGGTGTTCAGCCGCGCCGTCGAGGCGTGCGACCTCCACTGGCAGGACAGCCACCTGCAGAGGATCATCAGCAGCGACTACTACATGTCTCCGTCCTACCAGAGGGAAGGGGAGAGCTTGCTGTTCAACCCACAGGGGCTGCCGCTCTGGCTAGGTGCTATTTCAATCCACATTCCCATTGAAACTGTGATTTTTCTTTGTTTTTGCGTGGAGTTATTATGTATTCATTTCCTCTTTATGCTGAGAATCTCAGTTTCAATTTGCTATTTAGGGAGCTAAATAAAACCGTATTTTCCCCGAATGACAGCACCTCTGTGATTGTTCCACCCACGTCCTTTACTTTCGCTGAAAGCTGACCCAGTACACTCGCGCTCTCTCGCGCGCACAGTAATTCTGCTGATATTCGCGGCAGTATCTGCAGTAAGCAGCTTTCCAGCTCAGATCTGTCAGATTCTGCAACTTAAGCCACCTATCAGGCACACACCGGCTTTCTGCTGAGACTGCACCCTGTGTGTGTGTGTGTGTGTGTGTGTGTGTGTGTGTATACGCCGCCTGACTCTGCGAAGCTGTCCTGACCTCACCTCGTTTCTCTCCCGACACGCAGACCACGTCCCGACGGCGTGCGCCCGCGTCGACGCCCTGCGATCGCACGGCTACACGAGAGAAGCGCTGCGGCTGGCTGTCGCCATCATCAACACGCTTCGCCTCCAGCAGCAGAGGCAGATGGACATCTACAAGCACCAAAAGAAAGGTTCAAACATTAGAAACATTAGGGAGCACAGTTTATTTTCTAGATCGGGAGCATCGTTGCAGTACTTTTTAATGTTGACTGTTTTATTTTATTGTTGTTTTTTTTCCCGTCTCTGCTTTTAGAGCTTCTCCAGAGAAATGTTACCTCCACCACCAACCTGGAAGGCTGGGTGGGTCATCCATTAGACCCAATCGGTTGTCTGTTCATCACGCTCACAGAAACGTGCCGCATGGATGATGATAACTCTATGGACACCGGAGGTATTAAAAAAAACTATATGGTTTGGTTTTCCTCATTTTACCTTAACAGAAATGCACTTAGTTAAAAGAGTGAGAGTTTTGGCTAAAAGAGCTAGCTAGCTCTTAGCTAGCTTGTAGCGTGGGACAACTAAACTCTACATTTTAGCTAGGTGTTAGCTAGCTTTTATTGTCCCACAGTGGGAAAATTCATGCTTAATGCTTGAAAACTTGCAACATATTCCAAGGGTTTACATTCACATTTTTTGCTTAAAACTACCTTGCTGCTGCTGCGTTTTAAACCGTACAGCTAAATAATCCTGGCTAACATCGACTTCAGCTAAAGTGCTGTATTTGTCCCATCTTGAGCCTCCAAAGTTCATGAAAGTACCACCAGAATGTGTCTCTCCTCAGCCTTTGGTTTATACATTGGCTTTTATGCTGTGCTGAAACTTTGCTGGCTGAAACATTATCACAGTGAATCCTCTTTTCCTCCTGGACTTTCTGTTATGTGTTTGTGCTGCTGTTGCAGTGAAGGCAAATTAAACTCAGTGATTCCAAGAGTTATTCTTCTTCAGTACTGATTGCGAATACTTTCAGGGCACAGATGGAGGGCTCCAGACCGGTCAAGCTTTTTTTTTTTCTTTTTTTTTCTCTTGTTCTTGGGCTCGGTCTTAGCTTTGGAGTGTGTCATTTTTGTTAAGTAATTAATCATTATTTCATTCATTTTGTCGTGGACAATAAAAAAAAAAGTGTCCTGAAATATTAATCGAACTCTTAAACATTTGGCGTCTGTCTTGGAAAAAGCAACCTCGACTCTATGCCTGGTTAAAAAGAGGTTTAAAAAAAGAACTACACTGAATTATTTTAGATTGTTAAATTGTTGAAGTCTTTCCAAACTAATATTACTTTTGGAAAGTTTTACTACTTTTGCCTCAGTGGGATTTGAAATCCACCAAGTTCAAGACTTTATAGGCTTAAGCTAATCAAAATACAACATGTAAAGATTCAATGTAAAAATCGCCCCCCCCCCCCCCCCATAAGGCTTTGGGTAAAATCAAAATAAGGACCTTTCTACCTTTCCATGGTAGTTTTATGGAGCACATTTTTTTCTGGGTAATCTGGGTTTTTTTGGTTGTGTTTTTTTTTTGCTCTATTACAGGCTATGAAAACAAAAAAAGGCATAAATAACGACACCAGAAAACGACTCTATTTCTGTGGAGAGTTTCCTAAAGTGGAAACGCTCTTAACGACTGTTTGCTATAAGGTTGCATGCAGCCGTAAAGTATTAGAAACTGAGTGGGCTGCACTGAACACGCCCCTGTAGTTTGAGTGTGGTATGCACAGAACCCAACCCCATTTGAATTTCCTGACTTGTCCTCTTTACACCAGCGGCCATTGCATTTTATTTATTTTATTTTTTTGTTGTTGTTTTTTGTTTTTATTATTGTTTAAAAGCTTTGGGTAACAATGTTGGCTGACCACTGGCAACGTGCTGCGTGTGGAACATGAAGCAAATTAGTTTCATTTTCAGCTCCGTGGTCATATTTTCATAACCAACGGAGAACAGCTGGAAACATCTGTTTATGCACTGGCTAGACTCGGCCTCTGTGTCGTCCAATCACAAACCGCCTCCTCCCCCTGTCCTCCCCTCAGCTTTATCAAATCAACTTATTGAGCCGCTGATTCGGAAGAAACAAATTGACCGTACCAGAGGGGGAAAGTCTGTAAAATCTGTTTCCATTTTTCCACTCTAACTCACCACATGCGCGCTCTCCCAGCACAGGCTCCCTACCCACATATCCCTGGAATAAACAGGATTTAGGGGGATCTGTTGCTCAGAGGGGATTTAAGCTGAATGATGGGGTAGAGCGGTGGGGGTCGGAGGGGAGCAGGAGAAAACAAATCAACAGCTGAGGCTCCCAGGGCATCTGTTCTCACTTATACTTTATAAAGCAGCAGTGCTGGGTAAGCAGCCTTTTCACCAAACGAGCTCAAACGAAGTTACAAACAATGCTTTATTCCCCATTTAATTAAAAAGATATACGCATATTTTGTTAAAAATAATGAATCCGTAACGCCAAAGCGTGCGGCTGATGTGCTACAAACGCTCAGGTTCGAGTTCAGGTGGGCTTTGTGCGACTCCTTCTGTCTCAGCAGTTTCTTTTATTTCTATGGTATCTAATTAAAACTAATAACTGGTAAAGCACGTTGCCTTTTTCTGTTTTAGAGAGCTGAAATATATACATATATTAAAGAAATAAATAAAATGAACACTGAACATAGACACAGCTTGAACAGAACACAAGCAGCACATTGTTTTTAGCGTTTTAAATACGTATTCCTCTGATTTTCTCACCGGTTACCAATGTGGATGTTCGGTCTTGTCCCTGTTTTCTCCAAGAAGGCGATCCTAGACCTCCGGTCTACCACCATGTGCCCGTGTGGGGGTGTCCAGATGTGGGGGAGTCCTACCTGACTCTGGCCTTGGAGGTGGCCCTGATGGGCATGGGCCAGCAGAGGATCATGCCAGAGGGACTGTACGCCCAGGACAAGGTGACTTTTGCATCTGTTAGCAGTAAATGCACAGCGCTCTCATGAAAAGTATTCAAAACCTCTCGAGCTTTACCGCGATCACAGCCACAAACTTCAGTGTGTTGAATATTGTAGACGAAGTCCTGAGAGTTGGGGGATTTCCAATGTCATTTATTTATTGTTTTTGGTTGCCATTCTTTATTTTGGATATTTAAAATACCTTCCAGTTCCAGTGTTAATTGTTCTTTACAAAATGAAAGTTTGCTAGTTTTTGAGAGGGTGAGTTTGCGATATTATGCCATGTTTTATATATATTACTAGAAAATGGACTCCACGCTACAATATTATTGTTTATCGCAATAATTACCTGGACAATTTATCGTCCAGTAAAATTTGGCACTGTGACAGGCTTACGAATAGCATGACAAAACGTGAAATACATCAATGGTAATTACTTCTGCACTTGATATTGGTTGTGCTTTATTAAAAATATATTCTCTGCATATTTAAAAGGAAAAAAAAAAAATCCCGTTGAGGACAGTGTTTCTCTGATGGCAAATCACTATAATTTAACATCAGCTGGAAGTAAATGTCAGGCAAAAAAAACAAAAAAAAGCATAGAAAAGGTCACGGCATTTTTCTTTTCTTGGAAAAACAAGCAGAAAGTCACAGCACTTAAGTTCTCGGCGCACTGGAAGAAATCCGGGGAGCGTTTCTTTGTGCAAATGGTAATATGCTTTCGAGGGTTTAACGTTGCTGCCGCAGACCTTTCTTAATGTCATTGGAATTAGCGACAATATTAATGTTTTAGACGTTTAAAACCCAATCAAATGCACTAGAAGGACCTCTGTGTCGCTCTTTGGCTGGAATTGAATCCCGTCTGTCTCAAAGTGTGCGGAGGAGCGCTACAGTTCCCTGCTGAGAGTGAATCGGTCGACTTCCTGCTTCGTCAGATAACAATTTGACGACACTTTGTCTTCTCGCCGTGGCCCAGGTGTGTCGTAACGAAGAGCAGATCGTCTCCAAGCTGCAGGAGCTGGAGCTGGACGACCTCCTGGTCCAGACGCTGCGGAAGCAGGCCGTGCAGCTGCTGGAGGGTACGCTACCCGCCGCTCGTTTCCGCGTCGCGCACGGGTTCGACGAAACGTGACCCTTTTTTTTTTCCTGTCTGTGTCCGTCTCGGTTTCAGCCGGTCCGTTCAGCGGCCTCGGAGAAGTCATCCACAGAGAGAGCGTTCCCATGCACACCTTCGCCAAATACCTCTTCTCGGCTCTGCTGCCGCACGACGCAGACCTGGCGTACAAGGTGGCTCTCCGCGCCATGAGGTGAGAGATTCTTCAGGGCAAAAAAAAAAAAAAAAGAAAAAGAAAGATGCAACTCCTATGTTTAAATGTGGGGGTAAATGATTCTCAAGGGATAACCAGAATGTATTTACGCAAGATTTTCAAATTCTTTTCTTGAAATCCTTGAGAATCCTTGAACTTGAATTAGGCATTTTCCAGATTTGGAAAGCTCTGGATTTCTGTGTAAAGTCCTTGAATGTGCCTGATAGTCAAACCTCACAGTTTTGATCTGTGTAATGGAAATAAAAAAATGAATATTGTAGACGTAGTCCTGAAAATATAACGTATTATATTTTATAAATTAAGCAAAGTTTATGAAATTCTGGGAATTTTTTTTTTATAAATTGGTATTTTGATCAGATGTAAACACAAAATTTCACTGTCCCTGCTATGGAGAAAACAATCAGAAGACATTATTAAAAGTAATAAATGATGTCAGAATAATTCTGAATTGAAACTATCTTCTTTACTTCATTTGTATTGTTTTTTGTTTGTTTATTTATTTATTTATTTATTTTCAATTTCCAACGTGTGGTGCCGGAAAACCTTGAAAAAGTGCTCGAATTTTACTGTGCGGAAAAGTGTGCGAGCCCTGGCAGCAATAGGCGGAGGAGGGGAAGCTCCATATGAATATTCTCTCTGACACTTTCTGTGGCATCTAAATGAGCAAACTTTAAATCGTAGAACGGGGAAAGCCTCCGCGCTTTTAGATTTAGCTTTTCAAACCAGTAACCCGGCACGGCTCCATGTTTTAACCTGTCGTCTCCATGAAGTGTGTTCCACATTAGTAGCGCGTTCTCTGCTCGTCGCCCAGGCTTCCTGTCCTGGAGTCGTCGGCGGGCTCCGGGGACGTGGGCCACCCTCACCACGGCATCTCCATCGTTCCCAGCAGATACCCGCGCTGGTTCACTCTCGGCCACCTGGAGTCGCAGCAGTGTGAGCTCGCCTCCACCATGCTAACTGCTGCTAAAGGTAATATAAAAGAAAAAAAAAGAGAGATCAGTAGAAACAAAAGCAGCTGAAGCACAACAGCAGGCCATTTTGTTATTATATAAAATCCCCTCAAATGTAGTCGCAGAAACTTCTCTCTTCAGCTATTGTTCTCATAACTCATAACATTTTCTGGCCGTTACGAGATTAATCTTCCAAGCAGGTGTTTTATTTTATTAATCACGTTTGACAAAGTGGGACGAGCCGCTAATTGAGCTCTCCCCCATTAAATTGTAAATTTATCACAACTTATATCCCAATTTCTTCTTGATGTTGAAGCTCTGGGGCAAGAACGACAAATATGAAGATGTCCGACTTCCTCTCTGCCCCAACCCGAATTACAGCGTCCGACTTGATGTTCTCCATTTTAAAGTACAAGATTTTGTCCGCAGATTCTCTCTGTCTTTCATTTGTGTGTGATGTCTGCAGTGCTGACCGTTTGTTTTTAGGTTCTGGAAATTACCCTAAAGCCTATTTTTGTATGATAAGCACTTAAGAACTATTTATATGACAACTGGCCTGAAGGGATTTAAAAAGAAAAACAAAGAAAGTCAAAGTTTTCCAAACCATATTTGCTTTCTAGTGTCTGGAAAGTCCCACGATTACAAACTTTTTATTCCTTTACATAACCCACACTTGGCGAATGTTTTTAACCATACTCAATACTTGTTACCAATATTACAATGTCTAACAAACATACATCTTGCCCTGCAATTGTGGCTGCAGCAACAATATCAAGTTCCTACTTTGGGCGGACATGTTGGGATCCTTCAAACGAGGAAGTTTTCTTTGGTTACAGAAATATTTGGCAGCAGAAAAGGTTTTACTAAAGCAAACCAGTTGTTAATATCTTCTCCTCCTCCTCTTCTTCCTCTTTTTTTCCCCACTTGTCCACAAGGAGACATGTTGAGACTGCGGACGGTGCTGGAAGCCATTCAGAAAAACATCCACTCTTCTTCCCTCATCTTCAAACTGGCCCAGGATGCCTTTAAGATCGCCACGCCTGCAGACAGTCCGCCGGATATCACCCTGCTCAATGTGGCGTTGGAGTTGGGGCTGCAGGTACTGAACGTGTGTGTGTGTGTGGGTGTGTGAGAGAGAGAAAGGGAGGCTGCAATTATCACAGTTTCACCACAGAAACTTTTGCCGCAGCTCAAGTTTCCTTTTAACAGACTGTCAAAACTCTACCCTACAAATTGGCATCCCACACAGAGTCAACGCTGTTGACGAGAAGAACCCACTCAATGGAGGAACCTTTCCACAGAGAAACGCAACAGATTAGCATCCTGCTGCATTAAAAATGTGCTCTACAGCTGAAACATTAATTAATGGAGAAATTAAAAATAACCTCAATGACGTAAGAAGCAGCAAAAAGTAAATATTGAGCTCAGAGATGTTGAGCTATTTTTCTCAGTGTCACATAAGCTGCTATGAATAAAATTATAGTGCATGTTTAATAATAACCTGTAAATATGTTTAAATCTACTGATTATTGAAGCATTATTTTTGTGGTGTAATGTTACGAATCAAAATGTTTTCATATTTAATTTATTTTTCGTTACCATATATAGTAAATATTTATAAATTTTTAAAATTTCTCATCCCTTTTGATGCCTGATAAGGATTTAAAAGAAATTGTTTTTGCCAAATTTTTTTTTTTTTTACAAATTTTTTTTTTTTCTTTTTGTTAATTTTATTTGGATTATTGCAGGGTTTATTTTTTGCACAGATCTGCTGATATCTCCATCACTCCCCTCCCCTGTAAATCATAGATATTAAAAATCACAGATTGACTCAAAAGCAGGAATATCTTCACCTGTTGAAAACAATAAAACATGAAAATCTGAAGGAACTTCAACAACGTGGACTTTTCAGTAATAACATTTTTTTTTAACCAAAATTCCTGTTGCAAAGTTCGTTTTTCCAACAACTGTCTTTAAGTCAATGGCACAAAAAATATGCAAAGAAAGTGGATAAAAATGTATATTAATGGCTTTGGAAAATAACGGTAACCTACGCCAGACATTTACTAGCTGTAGCGTTACCATGACGATTTCGGCTGAAAACATCAACATAAAAGCATTTTGTGTTTCTGTCACTAAAACGTTTAACACTCATTTATTTACTTACTACATCGCGTCTTGTTCATTGTGTTGTAATTTTCACCTTAAATATAAAGGATTTTAGTATTTAAAGTTGAGAGCAAAGGTTTAAGATGTGGATTTCAAAAATAGTTATTACATATTTTCCAGCTTTGTTCTTACGCCTTTTGTGTGTTTTTCCAGGTGATGAGAATGACACTGTCCACTTTGAATTGGAGGAGGAGAGAGATGGTCCGCTGGCTGGTAACATGCGCCACTGAAGTCGGTATGTTTCACTTTTTTTTTTTTTGACACCCCATTGAGACGCAGCAAGAAAAACAGGATTCCATCTCTAATTACAGTCCCTATGGTCTGTCTCGATTTTCAGCTTTAAGGCTGACTTTGACTTTAATAAAAAGAAGAAAAAAAAAAGATAATCAAACATATGCTCGGTTCACCACACGGAGGGATAAACATCAGTTTTCCATAAGGTATTTAATAATTTGATGATAGTGCAGGAGAGAGAGCTGTAACTCTGCTGGTTGACAAAAATTTATGCAGAGATTTTAAAGAAACTGCCAGAAGTGCTATGAAAAGATTAGAGGGAAGCGATGATAAAGAAACACGACTGAAAAAGTGCAGAGTATGGTTATAAGTTGACACAATCTCTGACTTATTGGGTGAAACAAAGCTGGCAGCTTTAACAATGGTGACTCTCTGAGAAACCAGTAACCTGCCCAAACTGTGTAAAACTTGAATTCTTATGCTCAAGAAGTTTTACATTTTACATATTTAAAGTCTGTCCATTCTGGAAACAAGGGTTAAATTTATACTACTTTACTGTGCATGTTACAAAAATGGATGAAAGTTTTACCCAAGAAAACCTGCTAAGCCTGATGGTAGAGTGCTGAGGCAGTCATCCAGTGTGTTTTTGAGTTAACGATACAAACAAGGCAAACATAAACAACCTAATAAGACGACAAACAATGCTCAGCCTGGTGGGGGCGCAAGAAAAACCTGGTGACCCGCCAGGCTGATAACATGCTGAGGGAGACCACGACGAAATCTGGCTTGTTTTTTGTGTGTCTTAACCATGAAATTTAAACATTTCAGCAAATAAATACCACGTGGCAAAAGGCTCTTATTTGGACGTTTGCAAATAATTCTGGTAGTAAAATTATCAGTGGCAAGGATTCCGCATAAAAGTTCAAACTAAATGATGGTGATCGAGTCATTGTGTCTGTTTTCCTTCCCTTGCCATCTTTGAAGAACTGGCAACGCACTGAGTGTCCAATCCCATCTGTCTCTCCCGTCAGGTCTGCGGGCATTAGTGAGCATCTTGCAGAGCTGGTACACTCTGTTCACGCCGACAGAGGCCACCAGCATCGTGGCGGCCACCGTCATGTCCCACAACACCATCTTGCGCCTCAGCCTGGACTACCCGCAGCGGGAGGAGCTGGCCAGCTGCGCGAGGACACTGGCGCTGCAGTGCGCCATGAAAGACCCTCAGAACTGCGCCCTGTCGGCTCTGACGCTCTGCGAGAAGGACCACATCGCCTTCGAGACGGCCTACCAGATTGTGATCGATGCCGCCTCCACGGGCATGACGTACTCGCAGCTGTTCACCATCGCACGCTACATGGAGCACCGGGGGTATCCGCTCCGGTCGTTCAAGCTGGCGTCTCTCGCCATGACTCACCTCAACCTCGCCTACAACCAGGACACGCACCCGGCCATTAACGACGTGCTCTGGGCCTGCGCACTCAGCCACTCCTTGGGGAAAAACGAACTCGCAGCCATCATCCCGCTGGTGGTGAAGAGCGTGCACTGTGCCACGGTGCTGTCCGACATCTTGCGGCGGTGCACCATGACGGCACCGGGACTGGCCGGCATCCCCGGGCGAAGGAACTCTGGGAAGCTCATGTCAACGGACAAGGCGCCGCTACGACAGCTTCTGGACGCCACCATCTCGGCGTACATCAACACCACGCACTCTCGACTGACGCACATCAGTCCGAGGCACTACGGGGAGTTCATAGAGTTCCTCAGCAAAGCACGGGAAACTTTCCTTTTGGCACAGGACGGCCATATTCAGTTCGCCCAGTTCATAGACAACCTGAAACAGATCTACAAGGGCAAAAAGAAACTGATGATGTTGGTCAGGGAGCGCTTCGGCTGACCTTATCCCTGCCTCAGAGACCTTCTTTTTGGGAAGTAGTTAAACTTATTGGTTTATTTAAGTTTTTTTTTAATTATTATTATTATTATTATTATTTTGTTTTTGGATTTTTACTTCTGTATGTTGAGCCATTTCTTGACCAAGTCTTACGTTTTCGTTGTGTTTCGTTTCTTGAATGTGAACCAAAAAGTGTTCGCTGTACTTGCTCTACGTTAACCGTTGCTTCAAAAGACGGGACCTAAAGTGTCGCAGAAGTAACAAGGAATCAAACTCAACCAATTAATATTTTTGAAATGATCAGAACATTAAAAGAATGTTATTATAATAGCAAAAGAAATGTTTGCTTCCTGGTGGCTTGCGGCCATTTTGGATTGGGCGTGTGTGTAGTCTTTGTAGAGGTTAAGAAGATTTGGCTTCTCAAAGTGAAGGGAACTTCATCAAGAACACACAGTGGTTGAAAACGCACAGTGTTAAGGTCATACCTCGACTGTCGGCTTTAACTCCTCTGTTAGGAATTGCCTCTCATTTCATTCAGGGCTTCTTAGAGCGGAGAGGACGGATAACACGGCTACCTGTTCTCACTAGTTGAACATTTAAATACCTTCACCTGCTGCATGGTGAGGGTGACGCTTTACAGAGTGCATGTTTTGAGGGTGACGTTCTGGCTGCATTCGTTCCTAGTTTAGCCTTCGCGTGTACATCAGTATATTCTTGTATACACTGTATGCTTTGTGTCATCCTGTTAGCGACATAAGATGCCATGTTTGATGAGGTGAATGCGCTCCTCGTGTCCTGAGATGCCACTTCACTGCTAATTCTGCTGTTTGTGGCCAAAGCTTTGAAAAGCGTAAAGCGTCACCGCTAACATCAACATTCAGTCAACGATTTAATTCAGGTATATCTTTTAGTTTCATCACTCGGTGACATTAAGCTGGCGATCTTTGTGTCTTGTTGCGAAACTTTGACAACAATTTTGGACCTGGAACTTGGTCGTAAATCAGTTTGTCACCTGAATCCCTTTTCCATCACAAGAACATTGGCTAAAACTGAGAATTTTACCCACTTGTGTTGTTTAAACGCTGGGCATATTTTGAAAATTTGCTGCCAAGAAGAACTGCTTAAGTAGTTATGCAGTTTTCACTATAGTTTCACGGGGGCATTAATGTGACTGAAAACAGCTAAATTTTCAAACACTATTGTTTAAGAAGAAGTCAACAAATTTTTCTGTTCTTGACTGGTTTAGCGCCACCCTTTGAAGGACAGTTGTATTGTCGCCATGCTCAGGTATCAGTCACACAGACTAATGAGGAAATTTACATCACGTTTAGTGGACAGTAAGGTATTAGGCTAACAGTACCTTACTACCGTTAGCATCTTTTTAATGCTAACAGTAGCATTTAGCTAAATCCTTTACCTCTAGTTAGCCCTCCTACCTTAACCACTTGAAATAATTGTTTGCTAGTTAACAAAGTTGTTTGACAGTTATTGTGTAATTACAGTAATATAAATATATAACCCCTTATATTCTGCATTTAAAAAGTCTCTAATGCTACCTGTTTTCCCACCAAACATTTTCTCACCAAAATTTGCTACTTGACAAAATGTACTTTTTTTTTTTTTTTTTTTGTTTTGGTTTTTCAAAAGAATATTTTTTTTAAAGTATCAAGTGAACATCCAAAAGTAAGATTCCTCCAAGATCATTTTTTTTAAGAAAATTTTTTTTTGCATATTTTTGCTACATGTACATTAGCTAACAATATGTAACGCACCAGTGTCAGAACTTAATTTTTGAAAATTGACCCCCCCTAAAAATTAAATCTAGATTAAATCTACTTTTTGATAGAGGGCCAATATAGCATATATATGCTCAAAAAAATTCCCTAACCTTATGATTTGACACATTTCACATCCATGTTTGATTAAAATCAAACATGGAAAAATGAACATGGCTGTGTAAAATTATTAGGGCTAAATAACCATAAAATGTGTTCAGTTTTTTGTTCTTGTGATGGAAAAAACTGTGAACCTTCCTGTGAATACTACTGGTTTGTATCATTCTTTACTGTGAAGACGAGTGGCCTTTCCCCCCCAAAGGTTTCAGAGATGCACAGTGAACCACACGGATTACTGTATTTTGTCGCAACTTGGTGCGTTCATTGTAAGTATTGGAGACCTCGTGGCTCGGCACGGTTGGTTACCTTCTTCACGGTCTGCTGTCTGACCCGGTGGCAAAATGTCATTTCCGATGGCAGCCTAAACAAGAGCTTAAGTCTTTAACTGATCAGACTAAAATATACAAGCACTTCACACAGTTACCTCTTCAGTACGTTCCTGCCTGCTTCAGCATTTATTTATTGATTCTTTTGTGACTTTTTTTTTTAATTTTTAAACTTTTTTTCTAATCACTGAGTGAGTTTGAAATGGCAGACACACAGAATAAGAACCAGACTGTATTTAAATAAAAGAGGCTACATGAGTAGAAGGGTTCTGGAACAGAGGGATATATATATATTTTTTCCTATCTGCTTCGACATTCCACGAGAGCAAACTTTTACGAACTGTACCCGGGTAAGTCGGTCATGATAACTGCGCCTTTTTCAGATCAGGAAAAATTGCAGATAGACGAATGGGGGGGAAAAACTGAGGAGGGAAAAGAGAAAAAGAAAAAAAAGGCTAAACTCAGTTCTCAGGGACATCACTTAAAGAAACAAAAACAAAAAATAGTAGCATTAAGCATTTAAGATATTGTAAATAATAAAGTGTCAATTGAGAAAATTGTAAAGTTCTAATTATTTATAATGAGTATGTTATGTGTTTTATTTTTTTGGTTGTTTTTTTCGGCGGGGTGTACTTGAACTGTTCTGCGTGGGGGAAAATTTGACGCCGTTTCTTTTGTAAGAGCAAAAATTTCAAGGCATTTCTCAGGTGCTCCTGTGTACTTTTTTTTTTTTTTTTTTTTTTTTTGCTAAAAAAAAATATTCATTTTTATTCCGTTTGCAATGACAAAAACTTGCTTTCTTTCCAAAAAGAAAGCAGGGTTTATTTTATTTTTTATTTTTTTGCTTTTTTTAAGAGTTGGGAATATTGAGGTAGGCATACATTTGTAAACTGATTTGTACTAAACCTGACTATGCAGAACCACTTTGAGGGTCTCACCCAGGAATGAAATTGAGGAAGCGTGGAGGGCGAGACATGGTGGGTCGAACCACTATCAGAAAGAAGAAGAAGAATAAGGAGGACAGGAGGGAGAAAAGAGGAAGAGTGCTTGCGTTGGGTCGATGTTGCATCTGCTGCAACTTCTTGAGCTTGAGGCGAAGGAGGGAAAAAAAGAATTAACCAATGGTAGAAAATGCCTTTCTGACCGATCAATGTACAAAGTTCTTTTTTTTTTTGTACGTCTTTGTTTTGTTTTGTTTTTTTTTTTACTTTATTTCTGTCCTTTATTATCAAGACCGAAGCCTTCGGTGTCTTCTTGCGTGGTTACTCTGCAGTGAGACGGGATAACACAAACATTTATGTTGGCAACATTACCTGATAGCCTGTTTTATTCATAAAATCATTTAAAAAACAAACAAAAAAAGCATTCTCTCAGAGTTGGCTTTTTTTTGTTTTTGTTTTTTTACATTACAGCCGTTTACTTGTTTCTGTCCCCATGCGGTCGGATGTCTCTTCTGTCGATCTAGGATGTGAAGCTGTGCGTCACGGTGTTTCCCCTCCGCCGTCCTGCAGCGCACACACGCACGGCCAGCTTATGCAAAAATAAAAGATGTGAGGCTTCGACATCGTAAAGTTAACAGGTTTTCGAAAAAGGGTCCACAGGCGACACCACTTCACCAACTGCGTAACCCGAAACTTAATTCCTGAGGGTTCTGTTTAAGTTTTACCCCCCCTCGTCTTTTTTTGTTTTGTTTGTAGGAGATTACTGTTTGCTAGTAGAGATATAGTTCACCTCCCCGTTTTGTTTTCGTTTCAGATCCATTCTTAACTTAAGGGATAATTGAAAGTGTTTGTTGCCTCTTTGTGCTACTGATTTTTGAAAAGGTATTTCCAGTATTTGTTGCCACAGAAGTATCATAGCTTATCATCACTTTTTTTGTACCTTTTTTTTGTGCGACTTCTTGAGCTACTGTCTATAAAGCAAGATTTTATTACTATTTATGTAACGCTACTACCATTTTATATTGATTTGTGTTGAGATCTCAGTGCTTTTCTATGAATAAAGTGTGAAACACATGATAATGGTTGGAATTTTGTTAAGAAACTGAGCGCAACCCCCCCCCCCCCAAATTCTAAGAACAGAATTTAACTGCAATTTATTTACAATTATTTAAAAAAAATAAAATTTGGTTTAGCTGTCAAGCTAGCTGCTATGTTTGGCAGATTAGATGTGAAAGTGGGTTTGATCCATTTGGTATAATATTGACATTTTTTTCAGTTTGGCTGCAGATAAAAGTTTTATTTGTATTATGAAACAGAGCGTTAGAACTGAATTACAACATTCTGTGCAATTATTACAGTTCTATTGTCACATTATTTAAAATGCAGCAGTTACACCTGGATGTAGTTCATGTTCTGATCACCAAAATGACCCTAGGAATGTGTTTAAATGTCTTATTAAACAGCATATAAGCTGTCTTATTAATGAGACAGGAAGGTATTTGGAAAATCTTCAATTAAACAGGCGGCATGTATTTTCCAGCCACATAGTGCCATTTTATAGCACAAACAAGTAACTGTTACCTTCAGTTGTTATAGAAATCCTGTACTTATCAAATATGTCTTAAAAGAAATTAACGAATTGAAATTGGGTCCTCCGTCTCCAGGAAGTCGTCACAACATGGCTCCTCTGTTAGCCATTTAACAACGTTTTCACCTGTGAAGCAGCTAGCATAACGAGGTTAGCAGCTCCACCAGGTGTTTCTAATCGCTGCTGATTAGTCTGAAGGAGCTGAGAGGGCGGAGTGGCTGCTGTGAGAAAATGGAAGCCCGGAAACTGCGGTGCTCGGTCCACCAGGCGTTTTCCACAGCTGAATGGTTGCCACGGGAGATTCAAGGATTTCTCAAACATGCATGAAATAATCAAGGCAACACTTCAGGTATGTTTTGATGATGGGATAACATTATAACATGATATAGAGCTAAAAAAAAAAAAAAGAAGAAAAAAAAACCGTTTTATTTTGAATGCTAATGAAATTAAGATAAATTGTATTTCTATTAACAGTTTTTATAAAAGGTAAATGAACTGCACTGTAGCTGAACTCTGCGTAGATGAAAGCCTTGTGCCATTGGTGCCCCTCCTATTTTATGCTATCTTATGATATAAATATGCTAAAAGAACCCTATCTTGTTACCTTTCATAATTAAAAGCCATTCTTACTTGATTTTAAAGGAGCCACAGATTTCAGACCCTTGGACTAGGCTGCTCCAAACCTTTCATTTTGGTTTTTGAGTCATTCAGAATTGGACTTTCTGCTCTACGTAAACCTATAGTTTACACAGGGTGGTGCCACTGACTAGTAGTGACAACAAGCATGTCGCACAGCTATTTTCTTCTTTTGTTTTTTGCTATCTGTACTTAGTTTATCATGAGTTACACACCTATTAAAAGCCGATGAGTCCAGGCTGTTTTTGTCCATCAGTCCAGTATTAGTAATTCTGATATAAATGTATTTCGCTTGTAGGCCCAGGCGGTTTCCTCTTTGCATTTTTGCCAACCAGCCCAGAATTAGTGATAAATGAAGCTTGTGCCGCCTTATATAGCTCCATCAATCTCTCGCTCATTTGTCTCTAATCAGAATATTTTTCCTCTATGCCCTCCTTCACCGCTTCATTCTCATTCATTACAGATTTCTGCAGAGCCATCTAACCAGACAATCAGGCTATCAAAAAGTGCAAAGAGTGCTTGTGTGTTGGATTGTAAATCTAGATTGATTGGCTGATGATAAATGAGCAGATTTATATTAATTATCCAGACAGATAGATGGAGGACTGATTGCTATGTGCTCAATCTTTTTCTCCCCCAATCTGCCTCCACCTCTCTCCTTCAGCTTGTGCAGACAAAACCACTAAGGACTCTCTCTCTCTCTCTCTCTCTCTCTCTCTCACACACACACCTGCAAACTACGTAAAGCAAGAGACTGGGGAGTTTTCAGCAGCCTCTCTTTGTCCTTTGCTGAAGCATCCCTCATGCTCTTGTGTACTTTTGGACTCGCGCTCAACACCGTGGCAATCCCTTCCTCCAGACGCGTCATGCGACCCGCAAAAAATGCCACCAACATTAACAAACCGCAACCAGTTCTTCAATATATTTCAAATAATGACTATTTGCTCGACTATTAGCTTGACTTTCATGCTGATAGTTTGCACACGCTAGTAAATTATACACAACATTCCTTTTTGAATTGATTGAGGCTAGCTGTGATCAAAACACTCATAACATCTACATGGTGTGGCAGGCAGCTGCCTATTACTGATGCTGCTATATTATTTAGCCGTTTCTCTTTACCTTGTCAGAGTTGAGTTATACCCAGTTACATTTACTTGACTAACCTTTTTGAAAAGAATGTACTTTTGGTAGTATTTTTACTACTCTGTATGTTTTACTTGAGTAACTTCATTATGAAGTGTAGCTACTGTGACCTCAGTACACTTTGACACATCGTGTGTTCTGACACCTTTCTATTGGGAACAACATGATCTTCCTCAGTAATTTTAGCGACAGCAGCTCCTCTCCTCTCCATCAGACCGCATGACCATTCCGTTCAATCCACCAAAGCCTCAATGAACCTTGACTCTTGACTCAGGAGTTCAAGGCGTCTTCGAAGCCCGGTCTGGATCCGTTCAGGTCGGTATCCTCGTCCCTTTTTACTGCCTCTACATCAACTCTGAGGACGGACCGCTCACCTGCTTCCCAGTACATTCCACTAACATCCGCCATGATGCTAGTGCTTCACCTGCCAGTGGTCACACTGTTGCGTCTGATCTGTTTTTCCATATGACTGATCTTCTGCCTTGCATGGGCACACTCTCCAAGTGGTGAAGACGGTGGAGAGGAATAGAACAGCGGTAAATTCTTGTGCCTGTACCGATGGCAGCGCTGACATCACAATTTCACCAACGCTCGAGCGCAATCCCAACTAGGTGCCATCATTCGAGCTGCTAACCATTTGCAGGCTTGCAGGTGACAAGCCGTTGTTTGCGGCAACATGGCAGACTTGCCGGGAACAGGAAGGCGTCGTCGGCAAAGAAGGCCAGTCACGGCTGTCAGGATGTGAATCGGCGCTAAGCATCTCGGCTTATACTGAAGCCAGAGTTTCACTCCCAGCGTCTGCCCACCCCACTGCTCTCCTCCACACAACCACCACAGTTAATAATGCCTATCAGTCTCTGTCACTGTGGGCTGTGTACGTTCGTTCATGCATGTGGTCATTGAAAGATATGCTGCGTGTGTGTGTGTGCATGTGTGTGTGTTTGGAGGGGGTGGTCACTGATAAAGCGCTGATAGTGTCCATCCATGACAGATGATGTACAGCTTGCTGTCTCTCCAGGCAGATTGGATTTTCAGGCCTGCTGATTTGCTGAGAGATGGAGCCTGGACCTCCTTCAAAGACACCCACCCACCCACACACACACACACATACGGAGGCACACATCCACCTGTTCATTCTCTGTGCACAAACTAAGCACATAAAAGCCCACACACACAATGACGCTAATGCGCACAATGAGATGATTTGTGCACATGTACACATTCAGAGCCACAAACACGAGCAGAAACACACACCGAAAACACACACACTTATATATTATTCTCCTGCCAAAGCCTTTAAAGGCAACCATGTGGAAATTGATCTCCATTTCTAAAGAGCACAGATTCATTGTTACAACCTTCTCACTGTCTCTCTTCCTGTCTCGCATACACACTCACACACACGCACACACGCGTGCACGCAGACTGTCACTTTATTCCCAGATGGCCCACTGACACACAGCCGTAGCCTCTTCAGTCTTACCTGTCGCCAATCAGCGGTGATTTTTGTTCATTTGTCTTCTCTATTTATGGGCCCACAACAAAAGCTTTGTGTGTGTTCAGTTTGTGTAGGTGTGTTTGAGCGAGTGCGTACTTGTTTATTGTACTACAACACACAAAGGACAAGGATGAATAAAAAACCGCTGTTTTTTTTTTTTTTTGTATTCTCCTCTTCGGCTGCTTTGAGCTTTGTGTAGTTTTGTAAATATTAATAACACTTGCTGCGGTGCAGTCTTTTTAATATGTGGAGGGCTGGATTTCTACATTTCCATTTTACGCTAAAGTGTGCTTGGCAGCGACGCAAACAAAGGATCAAAAAGTGCCTCTGCATGGACACGGCTCCACGTGAAGTCTATTTTGATCCACGCTCTGCGTCTGTAAACATGTCAGATTTCGAAGAAGGTGCTCACTTTTGCTGCGTTCCTGTTACGGATGTGCATAAAACGTTAGCAATATTCCGCTAACGTCGAAAAACTACAATTTTGCAATTGCATTGTTTCCATCAAATAGAACCGCAGCTAAAATCACGCGATAAGTTACGAAACTCCTACCACTTCCTGTCATCTCCTTCATCTTTTCTGCCAGTAGCGACATCTGGTTGTCGATCGCACGATTCGTGTGATGCAAGAAGCGGTTCCGTTGCAGTTTTGTGAAATGCACTGATTTCAATACAGCCGAAAAACCACCTCATCCTAGTAAAAAACACAAGTTTATTTCCTCAGATTTGCCATGTTTCCATTAGCCAAATTTATTTTCGTAATTCCAGATTTGCGCAACTGTATGGTCAATGGAAACGCAGCTGTGCACCGTGTGATAAAGCACCAGCGATTCCCCTACATCAGTCTGCAGGTACAGCGTTGGGGCCGCCAAGTTTTGCTGCTTGACGACTCTGGTTACTTATAAATAAGGACCCCTTAACTTAACCATTGGGTTGGAAACCACAATGGTACGCTAGAACCGGGCTCCATTTGAATGCATCATAATTTCCCCAACAGTCAACCGTCAACAGGGCTATAAATAAGCCAGAAAGACTCTGCCCTTCATGAGTACCCGACCGTATACTCTACATCTAACGATTACTGGTGAGAGCGCACATCAGGGCTGCTGCGTTGGTGCCCTTAACACACACCGAATTCATCTTTTTTGAAGTGTGTGTAGTTTTACCAGAAGTGTTGATTCCTCAGGTTCGAAAAGGATCAGTGGACTCTGCGCCTGAGGCTCTGGCTGTCACACAGACGCTTTGAGATTTAGTTAATAGTTAAACTGAGCTACCTTTGATTAGGCAAGTTAAGGCCACCGCCGATCGACTGGAACTTGAATTAGAACCATGTGCTTTAGCCAGAGGAGACTCAGATTGAGTGTTTTAGCCCAGCAGGTCCTGTGGAAGTATGGTAGAGGATCGGTCATGCAGTGGGCCGGTGTCCCTCCATCTTAACAGGTGTGCCAACATATTGGAAATATAATTATTTATAGTTAATAAAAAGTATTTAATTACAAAGAGATTTTTAATGACAGAGCGAAAACGCATGCAAAACACCACGATGTATCAGGTTAGGATCATTCTTTAAAAAGAACTGGTTGTGTGGAACCAGAGATGGATTCATTGGTTTTATCATAAAATGTAAGAAAAAAAAAACAAGTATGAGCAACTTTCCAGACAAATGAGCAACTTTCCAGACAAATTCCAGGAATTTGACAGGAGTGTTGGCCAAACTTAGGATTAAAATTCCTCCATGAACACTGATGTTCATACGCTCGCATGTATGTCGGGTAATTACAACCACTTACAAATTAACGTGGGAAAAAAAAGTTCTTTCATAAAATGACTTTAAATGGTTACAATTTGGTGAAAAACTCAAATAATATGCTGAAAGCGAACTGGCTATATTTCAGGCCTAATACCTGTTTACTAGGTTTTATTTTTTATTTTTTTCTTATCCCTGCCGGATTGGACGACTGCAAAATGGGGAGTAAACAAAAGCTACATGTTATTAGACAGAAACGGTGCGCTTCATTACTGTAATCATAGCAGAGGCTCAGGGAAGAGATCAGTTAATCCAAAATTCAGTTTGGCTCCGGGACGCAGCTAAGAACAGCAGATAAGCAGATTCCTTTAAATCCGTTTGTTTTTGTGCTGCTGCTGATTTTGTTGTTTTTTGGACAAATCTGGGGAACATCACGTCACCAGACGGGGGTGAAGGGAGGGACCTGCAGTCCCATCCTCAGCAGTAAACACCATTGATTCTTAGTGATTACTTTTGATTGTTTTCTATCGTCTTTGTTTCCATTTTGACTGGAAGTTTAATGTCTCCACCTGTTTGATCTGTTCTTTATGTAAACCTTGATCTCCAACATTAACAGTTATTATGTTCCTCACTTAGAATCTGCAGATTTTGCGATTATGGTTAAATGGTTTCCTGGGTTGTATCTAAGCCTTAAGAGGTGGAATTTATGGACCCAACTTCTTAAATCGTGGCTTTAAAAAGTATTGAAAGGTATTTTTAAGATGTCTTCCATTCCAGTGTTTAAATGTTCATTGGAATGTAAAGTTTATAATGTGTACTTGGATTATTGTGCCATTATTATACAATATGATCATGTATCGCAATTCATTCTGGGACAATTTATTGTTATCGTGACAGGCCTAGTGATAAATTGGGATTTGAAGATTTAGAGGGGTGACCCATTTTCAGTGACAAACTTTATGTCTAACACTTTGAATAAATGCAGAGGTTACCGTTTGGCTGTGACTAAACATGTGGTTCAAGGTTGTTTTTTCAAAATATGGCAGAAAGGCAGTAAAGCAAGATTTAATAATATTACAATGAATTTGAAAAAAACAAACTGATCAACAGATGAGGAATAAAGCAAAACTCTACTAAAAATTAACAAACGCGATTTTTCAAAACTGTCAACTAGAATTAATCCATGTCTAATCCAGGTCAAAAAAGATTATCCGTAGAGGGCCACAGGATCACTAGGCGCACTTTCATATCTTAAAGATAAATACATTTAAATATTTTGTCTTTTTTTTTACTTATTACAATCTGCTCAACAATAAACTAACCAAACATTTTAGTTGCCAAGCAAACCTGTCAAATCATTGCAGAAACGGGATTTGCAAATCATTCTACATAGTTTTCCTCATAAAAAAAAATCAAACTATGCTACATTTTTCCAATCTGTAAACATTTTCAGACCAGTGTCTCCCTTTCTTCTTGCCATGTAGCCCAGTTTAATGACTGGTTCTGTCTCAATCCACTCTGGAGTAAAAGTCACTGCATGCTTGTGGCCCTAATTACTGTGAAATTAAATTGAAACATGGTTATTAAGAGATGAACACTTAGCTTAGTCCATCATATTTTCTATTTTAAGAACATTTGAATTTGCCTGCATTTCGTTTGTATACGTCCTAGCACCATAAAACAAATAGTTTGACCCGCCTTTTGCGGGTCAAGCTAAATCTGTACCATTCTTTGTTGCAAGCTGCACAAAATAGTTGTAAGGGAAACAAATTTCATGGCCTGGTTATGTTTGTGATGGTAGAACAGAAATGGCTTTTCCTGGGAAACCTCCCAAAACAACTGGTTGGTAGAGATTGGCTCAAGGGTTGCCATGGAAACTTGGTGACAGGAAAATAACCCTTTTTTGCTGTAGTTCTCCGCTAGTTTGTTTTGGGTCCTTGTGTAGCCTGGTGGCAAGAGGCCAATAGAAAATGAAGCTCTGTCTCGCATTTATACTCCACAGAAACTGGATGTCACGCATCATTAATAAGTCGACTAAAGTGCATTTTAACTACTTCTGCAGCTCTGAACCGTTTTTTGTTTTTTCCCCCAAAGCGTTCTTTAAAAACCATGAAACTGTGATGCGCCACTTGAGCTGTTTATTTCTCCGGCCCTTCATTTTGAAGCGTTTCCCAGAGGACTCGGGGACTCGCCGTTTAAAAACAGGCTCCCACACCTTCCGGCAGGACACCGTCTCACTCCCTGTCCCAGTTTCGATCGCAGCGACTGTCGCGCCTCTGCCCCATTTTCTTAACCAGGCCTCGGTATTGAATCGCACATAATCAATCACGCTCTCTTTCTTTCTTTTTGTATTATTCTTTCCTTTTCCATCCCAACTATGGAATACGCTTCGTTTGCCTCCAAGGCGGTGGGCAATTTTCTCTTTTCTTTCACACACAGAAGATCGAAATGATAAATTAAGGTTCAAATTGTTGTTTGGTGAAATGTCTCTTAGCTTCATGTCTGATCGCTCTATTCATTTGAAAGCATGGAACTCATTTAAGTTGGTTGGTTGGTTTCCAAACACAAACCCATCTTTTAAGCCGTTCTAAACCCTAACGTTAGAAAGCCGCTTGTGGCTCTTAGGGGCCGGTATCCTGCCTGTTTTAAAACTCACACCACCATCATCATCCAGGCTGTTATGGGCTTAAAGGCTTGCTGGATCTCTGGGATGTTTTTAACACTTCCGTCAACTTCCTTTCATCGGACGTGAACGGTTTGGTTCAGATGGTTCAACATGGATGTGGTTGGGTGTTATGAAATGAAATGATCACATAAAAGTTGGGTGCATGTTGAGAAACCAACCTGTGGAAATGAGCTCTACCACTTCTTTGCTGACTTTTTTCCTCCAACACTTTCTAAAGGGTCTGCATACGAACGCCATAATAATACATATTGATATAAACACTGCATCTAATACATAAATTGGTTTAATGTTCTGAAGCAGTTGCATAAAATGCATAAAAACAAATCAATAAGGGGTTAAACACTATTTCCCAACACTATATATGAGTCTTGATGTTTTATTTTGAATCTGTGTGAATTGAAGACAATTCAAAACTAATAAACTTGCTTATTGGTGGCATATGTGGGATTTTCACATTAGTGCCATTTTTCAGGGAAATGAGTTGATTATAAAGATGAACCATCCTTATATCCTTAAGCACCATCTTGTAGTGCAATAAACATCTCATAAAACTAATCACAAACTTTCTTTTTTATTTTAATGTACTCTCGTTAATATTCAACTGGGGAATTTGCTCAGAGTGTTGGACAGCAGTCAACATCTGCTGTGCTGCGTTTCCCCCTCCCCCGAAAAAATGTAAAATGTTCCTTTAGAGCAAAAACCCTTTTAAGCAAATCACCCATTTTTAAATCCCCGTTTGTTTTTTCCGTTATCAGCTTTTCAAACGGAACCACGTTGCCTGATGACAAGCTACGTTATAGATTCTAATTGTATTTAGATATTTTTTTTATGAATATATTTGTAAGCGCCAGACTAACATTGCTGGGATAAATACTAAAATCTTAATACTCAACATCCGAGCTGCTTTAGACCTGCCAAATGGATCGAATGCGATCGCCAATATGATGCTGCAGCACTTAAGATGAGCTCTACATGCACGTCTACTTGCCAAAAATCACGCGATTGCTTTTCAATCCAACACACACATAATCCACTCCTGATTCAGATAAACATCACAGCTGAAGAGAAAAACAGCTCGTCTTAGAGAAGCAACATGTTTATCCTAAAAAGCTGCACAAAATGGGAATGTGGTGGTTGTTTTTTTTGTTTTTGTTTTTCTTTTTCTATCCCGATGTAAAACAAACAAAGTTGTTTTCGGTTGATAATCTGTATTCAAAAACACATACATGATTTTCAATTAAATAATGCATTCTTTTCTACATCATCAGCAGTACACATCCTCTGTTCCCGTCTTCATTTTTGCTTGATCAGAAGTTTAGAGTGCTGGTGCACGGCGTCGACGAAGGCGCCGACGTTCTCCGGGTCCATGTCGGGGTACAGGCCGTGGCCAAGGTTGGCGATGTAGCCCCTGGTTCCGAAACCCTCCAGCATCTTCCTCACGATGTCCGAAATCTGTTCCTGAACCAGAGCGACGACTTAAGCTTTAGGGGATTACTTCTGAGAAGGAATTACTTACACTTACAGTGTAAGAATACAAAATGTGGGCTGAAACAGGGCTGCAACTAACGATCATTTTAATAATTATTCTGACGATTAATCAATTAATCTGACAAAATAACAGGCACAAACCTTTTTTATACAATATTAGAGATGGAAGTAAACAAAATTTAATTCTTATTTTAAAAAAGAAAAGTATTGTATTGCCTGAAATGCAATAATATATAATTCCTTTAGTGAATTTTAAACTTTATTAAAAACTTTTCATTAAAATGTTGGGGGGGAGGGGTTGTAGTTTTGGCTTATTTACTGCTCTAAATGTTTGTTTTTTCAGCAAATGTGCTATTCTGTATACTCCAGTTAATGATTAATCGATTAGTCGACGATTATTTAAAAAATTAATTCATCACAATTAATCGTTTTAGCCCTCGGGTGAAATTAAACTAAATTCGGCTTTGTTAATGATCCAAACTATAAATGGAAAAGATATTCACTATTTTTACTTTTCTAATTAATAAAAAAAATCTAATTAACCAGAGCTGTTCATCTGTCAATATGGAAGTCTGAACAAACAGGAAGTGCATGTTACCTTTGGTGCATACAGAGCACAGGGATCCATGTTTCCCTGCAGGCTGACCTTCCCTCCAGTGCGCTCCCTGAACACATACACACACACACACAGAACACACACTTGTTAATCCTTTAACCAACAGGTTAAGTATTTGATGAGTGGAGCAGGAAATGCAGATGTTTGTTGACTTAAATCCTGCACCCAGTGACAAACTGGGAGGAGGGGGAGAGAGAATCAGGGGTGAGTCCACAGCAAATGGTTAACCAGACCCACCAACGCTGCTTTAACTAGACACTTAGGCTTTTAGCTGCCTCCCAGGTATAAAAACAAGAGAGGAGGATCGACATAGACTCACGGGGTAGTAAGAAGTGGCAGAAGTTTATATGAACTGGATGTGTGTGTGTGTGTGTGTGTGTGTGTGTGCGCTACCTTGCTGATCGGGGGTCAATGGTCCAGTCCAAGCTCACCACTTCGTAGTGAGACTCAGAAAGCTCCTCTAAGGCATAGTGAGCATCCTTCGCAAACACAATCTGGAACAGCCAAACAGCAGACAGCACAGCTGTGATCAAATGCTGCCACCTACAGGTAATCACGCGCCACAGCACTTGGCATCATTTTTATTGATCCCATTAGGGATTAGGTGTTATTTTAGCTACACCATGCCAGTGAGGGAACACAAGCCTTCTGAATTTGTTCAAATCACAGGTTGGAGAAGGAATGAATGGGATCACGGCTTTAGAGGGGTTTCTGCCCCTGGTGACTTGTCTGCACTTAAATCAGATGGCATGGACTGATGTGAAAGCATCTTTGGACGAGGCATCTCTCACCATCGGAACATCCTGTCCCTTCTCCTTAAGTCTGTCCTTGACGCGGCGAGCGATGTCTCGCAGGTACGGCAGGGAGAACTCCCTGAACTCCACGGGGCCCAGGATGCCGGCGTGGGACTCGAACACCTGCAGGGCCTGCAGAGCGACAACCCAATGAAACGGTTCAGCTAACCTCTGACAAAACAAATGCTTTTCCACGAGTTCCCCCATATCTTTTTTTTTTTTTTTTCCTGCAAATACCGACAACCTCGGCTGGGTAAAATTAGCCAGTTAGTAAATCTCCTGCCACTCGGTAGCGAGTCAGAGCTGCTCATGATTTCTGAGCAACAGCGTTCTCTTCCAGCGAATTTCCCCATGTGCATTAGACCTGAGCGTGTAGGCAGAGAGAGGACACTTGCTGCAAGTGGTTGAGTAAGGGCGATGCAATGTGAGTCACTGAGTGGGTCATTACATCGAGGGGGGGAAAAAACAGCAAAGTTGTACTTTAATAAAACTGGAAGCTTAAATCTAGTTTAGCTAGATCTCTATAGACGTGTTGAGTCAGGAGGATTGAATCTAAATGCACAGAACAACTCTGACGATTTTTATTATTTTAGGGTGACATTTTTGAAATGCGTGTTGAAATAGATTAACATTAGATTTTGTCACATGCACAGTTACACAGCACAGTGAAGTGTGTTGTGGGTAGAGCTGTTGCAATAAATCAATTAATCGAATGATAAATTAAGACGATCCCTTTGGTCTGGTTCATTGGTCTCAACTAGCCTGTTTTTGGAAGACAGTTTTTTTCTTACAGAGACCTTATGATTTGTTTTGTTGTTGTTTTTTATTTATTTTGGATATTTAAAATGCCTTCCTGTCCCAGTGGTTAAATCTTAACCAGAATTTTAATTTTACTGATCTTTGTGAATGTGTTCTTGCGTTATTACACCATTACCACCATATTACTTACAAGGTCTCAAAACAACAATATTATCATTTATAGCGATAAACGATAATACAATTATCATTCAGCAAAATAGGACTCGTTGTGAGGGGGAAACATAAAAAAAAGAAAAACGCAAAAAGAAAGTAGAAGTTTCACACAACACGTGACTATTTCTCTAGACACTTACACTTCTAAAGAAAAAAAGTATAATTGTATTACTAGAATGGCCCAACCACCAAAAATGACTCACGGCAATTTTGTTTCAAGGTTTTTTTTTTTTTTTTAGGAAATCAAAAAAAAAAAAAACGCTGAATCAGATGCATTTCCTGCTGATGCTAAGGAAAACCCGTCTCCCTTTAGATTCTAGGCGGGCAGCTGGAGCAAATCAACATTCATCTTCGCAAATGGCATCTTCCACTGCCCTGCGCAGCATGAATCGTGTCCCTGCTGAGTGCGTTTCAAGTGGCAACACATTTCTAAACGCGTTCTGAGAACGGAGGGGTTCTGACCTGCGCTCCGGCCGCTACCTGGCCCACCAGGTACTCCACGATCACGTCGGCCAGCATCCTCAGCAGCATGTGGCTGGAGTCTGGGTGGCGGTACAGCCAGCGCTTGGCTTTGGAGTGGGTGGTGGAGCCGCCGCCTTCGATCATGTACGACATCAGGGTCCACTGTGGCGCGACAAAACGGTTAAAACGCTTCTGGGGTTTTCTAGACGTGGACCGACCGCCAGGCGGGTCGGGGATTCTCTCTCACCGGCGCGCCCGTGAAGCCGATGAGCGGCACTTTCCCTTCGATCTTGTGTCTGGTCAGAGTGATGGCTTTGAAGACGTAGTCCAGCTCTTTGTTGACGTCCACCTTGGCCTGGAGGCGCTGCAGGTCCTCGGGTTCCTTCAGTGGGTCGGTGAACGTCGGGCCTTTGCCGGTCAGCATCTGGACTTCCATTCCCATGGCCTGAATGGAAGGACAAAGACAGAAACGGCTCCATGTTTATGAAAAAAAAAAAAAAATGAAAATACAAGTTAGGTGCATCGTCTGGTGTGTAAATATTCTCATGGTAATAACCTGCAAGACTAGATTTTTTTTTTCATTAATGCACTAATGATTCATGTTAAAACCATTGCTAGACTGAAAAGTTAAAATATGGAGGATATTAATATTCCCATCCAAAAATAACCAAACGCACATCGTACCTCGCCAAAATATGAACACGCCTTGAATCCTCATGCCGCATTAAGCAATGGATCAAATTCCTTTCTGATGAGTAATATTTCTTAAAGGGCGACTTCATTCAGAGACTTCATAATCCATTCCATCTATGGTTTAGGTTTTACTTTTAATTTGTTTGTTCCGTTTTATTTTGGATACTTAAACTATCTCCCAGTTCCAGTGTGGAGTGTTGTTTAGAAAATTGAAGTGTTTTAGCCTTTGAGAGGATGAACTTGCATTAGGGTTAGGGTTATTTCCACATGGACACGTTTAATGACGGTGGCTGTTGCTAGGTGACCCACCTGTGGGATGACCAGGATGTCAGAGAAGATGATGGAAGCGTCGAAGGGAAAACGCCTCAAAGGCTAGAATGAGAAAAGCGAATATTTCAAGGTGAATTGGACTCATAGCTTTATTAATCCAAGAAAGCTAAAGAAAGCTCTCCACCAAATCAGGGCTTTTGTTTTTTGTCTCTCTCCCCCCCCCTAAAATCATGTTTGGAGTTTTACCTGCAGGGTGAGCTCACAGCAGTTCTCAGGAGACCTACATGTGTCAAAGAAGTCCTTCCCTCCTCTGACCTCACGGAACTCTGCAGACAAAATTCAGTATAAAAAAAACAACAACAAAAAAAAACTGTAGGATGTACAATGTCGAACAGTTTTCACAAATAGTCAAGAGCTTTCAGCGTCTTTGTAAGAAGGGTAAAGGTCATCGGTACCTGGTAAGTACCTCCCAGCCTGTCTCATGCACCAGACCGGGACGTGTTCGGGTTCTTCTCCTCGCGCCGCTCGCAGGAATGTATCGTTCTTCAGCTCAGGAAAGTCTTTGGGGCTGGAAGAAAGAAATATCTAGTTAGAGATGCACAAAGAGCCAACGGGTAGATCAGCAGATTTTCAGCTTAATCAGCTGAAGACTTAAAAAAACAAAAGTTGGATTATAGTTTATAAATGAATCTCGCCATTTTAATAACGGCAGCATAATATGTAGTATAATCCCTCCGTCATTACAATACATATGTGAAGCTAGAAAACATTTTAACTTCATTCTTGTACTGGTGTTTTTCCTTAGTTTGAAAAAAAAATTAATTGAAAGGTCAAAGCTTTATGGAACAGGAAATCAAAAATAATCCACACAAGTCTATGTACCTTTATCTGCAGTAGAAGATAATTTATGTCTCTTATAAGATAAACAAGTAAGAGATATGAAGGGTTCTTTTTAATATACATTTTTGGTTAGTGTTATTATTCCCTCTGACTCATAGTGGGGTGTGGACCATTTATCACAAGGCATTGACTGTGACTAAGCTTTTTTTTTTTCCTATTTTAGAAAAGGATTACCAAAATTATTTATATTCGCCAAATCCCAGAATAATGGGAGGCGATATTAAAATCCAGAGGTTTGCATACATTTTATTGCCATTGGATGGAACAGAATTACACTTTAAAGCTGAATGGTTCGGATCACAACAATTTAAATTTAGTTGGTTTAATGAGTTGCTCCAACATTTCCACATGTTCTTTCTTCCTCACGACGCTGCAAAACCCACGTAACATGACGCTGCCACCACCGTGTTAAACAACTGGGATGAAATTCTAAGGTTTAAAAGCTCCTCTGTTTTTCTTTCAAATGTCAGGAGGGTCATTAGGAGACCAAGACATGATTCTGAATGCAATTAGAATATAATCTGGCTCTTTATATTTGTTTTGAAGGAATGGCTTCTTCACATCTGAATGGCCTTTGTTTGTTCCAGACTTGTTTCCATGTGGGTAATGACACAGCCTTACCAGTTTCAGTCAGACTTTTCCTTTTGTTTGGAGCTTACATTCCCAAATTGTTGAACACCCTAACTTTTAGACAAAAAAAAAAAAAACCTTTATGACACTGAAAATCCTGAGCTGACCTGCCCTAAGTGAGAATGACAGATAACCCTCTTCTCTTTTCTTATCATCTGCCAGCAGCAGAACAAAACGGTTGAATGAGGATGGATCCCAACCGCGTAAGAGTCGGAGAAATGTAATACTCAACTTATATTATTTAAAAACAAAAATAAGACTGAGATTAGGATAACGTGTTTATAGATGGTTTTTATTTATTCATTTATTTTTTCAAATGAAGACTGAAAGAATTAACTATTTTCTCGGATGCACTTTCAATGAATAAAAATAAAATACAAAAAAATAAACTAAGAAAAAGCATTTAAAAGTTTTTCAAAGAGGAAGATTTCCTGTAAATGAGCCCCGTAGGAGGAAATGCGGACTGGTCATGCCGGTTTGTTTTTAGTACATTTCTGATGAAACGTGATGAATGAAGAAGGGGGCTCGTTTATTCTTAAGAATGACACATGAAGGTTTCATAAAGTTGCTGTTTAAGCAGCTAGCTGCTACAAAACCCGCTGCGGTTAATCCTGAAGCAGGGCGACTGAAGGGGCCGACAGCAGAAGTAGGTTACTTACAGGATAAAGTCGTTGTTGCTCATGTCTGCGGCGCGGAAGAAGCGACAGGTTTACCTAAAAGCTCCTCTGGCTGCGTCTCAAGTCGTCAGTTTGAATCTGCGGCTCGTCATTTGAACTGGCCCTGCTGACTGCGAGAGGGTACGGCCATGTTGGAAGATCACGTGACCAGTCACCAGGGCGCGCTGACGTTTCAAAACAAAAGCTCCTCGTTTTATGTTCTTTCCTCCCCTCCTCTTCTTCAGTCGTTACGAATCTATTATGATACAATATCATGACTATTATGTTTTTTTTTCTACATGGCATGAAACTTACTAATTTAATCAACTACAATTACAGAGAAGGTTGTGGTTTGAGTGAGTAAGTCAACTTCAAACTATTGTATGGCCATTAAAGCTGCAGTATGATGGGAGGCAGATCTAATCATTACGGTGTCAGAACGTGGGTCAAATTATCTATAAATTATATTATTGTATATAATCCTATTTCTTTTAGAAATTTAATGCTAAACACCTTTCAATATTCAGTCCTATGTATTTTGACGCCCTACATTTAATAATTGCGTTTTTCTTCATTAAAAGAAATGTTGCATTCTGATGTTTACACGAGTCATGTAAACATGTGTTTACATGTAAACATGTGCTGGTGTTGTTTTTCCTTAGTTTGAACAATGTAAACATGTTGTGAAGACACAAGTCTTCATGTATTTAAAAAAAAGAATTGCCAAGAAAACCCCATCCTGGGAACACAGTTTCCCAGAATTTTGTGTATCACTCTCCCGAGTCGTTTTTATTCTGTTTCTTAAATAGGCGACTCATTTATCATTGAAATATTTAAACCAGAACCGGAATAAAAACGACTCGGGAGAGTGATGCAGACAATCCTGGGAAACTGTGTTTGTTGGTGCCTGAAAACACACAGCGATACCCCGACACTGGCCTTTGGAGTCACTGGTCTAAGACAGCAATACACAAAGGAAAGTCAGGGGAATCCAGCAAACCACGAGTAAATTACAAATGGAGATCCAATTTTTCAAATCAAACAAATTTTTTGTGCAATTTCTAAAACTGAAACTTAAACAAAATAACAAAGAACATCTGCATATGTGTATTGTTTTTTTTTAATTTCATACAAAATGTACAGCCATTCAATACCAAACATGACGTTTAATATAACCCAGGCTTTCAATCACTACATAGAAAAATATTACATATTTCATACTGTTTAATATCTTGAGTTAGTAAGATTATGTCGCTTGAGGCTAACATGTAGCAGTCCATCTTAGTCTCTCACTTACTTCCAAAGAAAGTAACGTTCTAAGTCCGGGGTCCGTATTTTAAAGCAGCTTATGATTTTATTAGGTCTGTGACCACATATATATATACACACACAAGTACGACATACAGTTCCACCACAACACATGCAGGAATTCCAGTTTTCAACGCAGTTACTTGTGGTTTAACGCCTATCCCCAGGCCACTTCCTTAATATCTCCTCCTTTCTCTGCACTTCTTCCTGTCTAGCTTATACTAACGAAAAACCTTCTAAAAACGTCTGCATCTAATCAGTCCAAATTACCCATTTAGAACGTTTACGTTTAGACCACATTTCTCAAATATACTTACAATTACAATCTCATTTAAATACACTTCACATCCATAAAAAACAAAACAAAATTAATCCATATTGTTCAGAATATCCTGAAAGATGACGTCTTTCATCGAGATTGTTTGTGAAACTATATAAAATCTTCAAAATTCAGTGGACATCAACATGTGGCATATATACAATTAAACTGTGAAGAAGTGAAAAACACACAACCAGTGGAGCGGATGTTAATCGTCGTGAATGTCCTTATGGGATGTCCCGCCGGCTCGGCAGCGCTACGGTTGATCCTGGTACTGTCCCTCTGTCGCGGTGTAGAAGTCGTCCAGGACGCTCTGTAGGTAGTCAAAGGTGGGTCTGTCTTCGGGCTTGTCCTTCCAGCAGGTCATCATGATCTCGTACAGCTCAGACGGACAGTTTTCGGGCTGGGACATCCTGTAGCCGCGTTGTATGGAAGACATCACCTCTCCCTTCGTCATCCCTTAGAGACAAGCGCAGACACAAGTTAGGAGCTCGTGTGACAGGAGGAACAATGGAGGTCAGTTTACAGGAAGGTTTCTGTAGACATAAATAAGACTGGTGAAAATGAGGGCAGTAGGTGTCAGTATAATGCCAGACAATGTGCCGACAATAACGGAGCCATAAAAATATTTTACAAACTGGAAGAAAATGGCAAACATGCAACGTTTGCAGCTGTGTTTTTTTTTTTTGTTGTTGTTTGGTCATGATCCAGGCCTGTTTGAATGTTGCTTGTATTTTGATATTTATTTTAGTTTATATCCTACCACATTCTGTTCAGCCCTCCTGGATTCATTATTGTTCAAAATGTCTTGCCATATAGTTCAAACCTTTTGTACTTCATTTCTTAGTTTATTCTTGCATTTTGCTCTTTGGATTTTGTTTCTATCTCAGCTGTTTCCCCACTTGCGTTGGATTTAAGTTCCTGGATTTTCATTGTTTATTACTGCAGCCGTCCATCACTTTTCTTTTCTCTTTTTTTGTGGTTACCGTCCATGTGCTTCCATGTTCCTACCATTTCAGTAAGTTTGACATTTTATCAAAACTCTCATTTTCCACCTTACATTTTGCTCTGCACTTGGGTCCTTGCCAACAACGTTTGTTGTTAATTTTGCACCAGATAAATTAATTTAATTAAATAACTTAAGTTTGTCTGGTTTGTCGCATTTGTGTTTTACTTCTAAGCTCCGCCTTATAGAATAGTAGCACATTAATTTCTAAAGTCAACGAGATTACCAAATCTTCAAACTGTATTATTCATAAATATGATTGGTTTCACGCCATAGAGAACAAAGCTGCAGCAACACACTTGCTTACCTGGATATGGGATTTTTCCATATGTGATGATCTCATAGAGAAGCACTCCGAAAGACCACATGTCTGATTTGATGGTGAAGGTGCCGTAGTTGATGGCCTCCGGAGCGGTCCACTTGATGGGGAATTTGGCACCTGGGAGTGTAGAGTAAGGGGACACACACACACACAAACACACACACACACACACACCTAAAATTTAATCAACAAACTCTATTATATTTACACATACTTTGCCTAGTCTATGTAAATAATCCACTGCAGCGCCCAATCCCACTCAGCACACCTGTGCCGTGTGTCGTGGAAAGTTTTCTAATCTATTTGTGGACCCACAAGTTTATTGATAGATTCCTGGTTCCAGCTGAGTAGTCAGACAAGTTTCATTTATCACCCAAACATAAATACGTCTGTTCTTTAAAAATCCCCAAACATTCGGTTTTGATTTTTTTTTTTTTTTCCAACTGTAAAATGCAAATATGCTACATTTGCTATGCTAACCACTCCATACTGGTAGATCTGAAAGGTCACTTTTCAAACATTACATGGCAAACTAAAGTCTTACTCCTATAATTCCTTATTTTAGTGACTTATTTTGTTTCTTGGCTCCACTTAAAGGTTACAAATGTTCTTCACACTTGTGTGCTCTTAACCACAACAGTCCTTTTCACTCTTACTGTCACCTAAAAGACGCGACAGATTTGGATATTTTTACACACAGTCGGATACTTTCTGTTAGTATGCTGATCCAGATTTTCTCTACTGTGTTTGCAGTCTCACATATGCTAGTGTTCAGTTGTTTTGTTTAAATTAATGGGGAAAATCAGTTTTTCTTTAATCTGTATTAATATAATTTATTGTGTACAAAATGAATGGAAAATATCTGATTTCTGAAGTGCCTGAATATGTTTCGGTAGTTCTCTATACTACTGGGGGAAAACAAAAAAAACAAAAAAATCAAGTCATCAATGTCTTGTGTATTTAATACAAGAGTCTGAAAGGATGTTATCTGCAAAGCGAAACAAAGTGTCTTTCCTGTTGCCCAACACAATAGCCCTTTCAAGGAAAGGGGGGCTTTTTTTTTTTTTTTGCTTCAGTCTGTCACAGGGAGTAAAGGAAACGGCTAACGTGTGACAAGAGAAAAATGTCTTGCATAACAGAGAAGTTGGAAGGCGCACTCATTCTCTCCTTCCCACACAACGCTTACCTTCCCGTGCGGAGTACTCGTTGTCCTCTATGACCCTCGCCAAGCCAAAGTCGGCTATTTTGCAGAGCAGGCTCTCGGACACGAGCACGTTAGCAGCCCTCAGGTCTCTGTGGATGTAATTCTTCTTCTCTATGTAAGCCATGCCCTCCGCAATCTGAAACCCAACGGAAAACAAGTGCGTTTGTATTCAACGATCATGATAGATTTCCTGGAAGCAGGGAAAGATGTATATTAGAAATGTAATTTTATGACCACAGGTGAAGAATTGTAGTTGGTTCAGGTGACTACTTTTGAGTTAGCCTAGTCACTAAATTTGCAGTTTTGCAGCTTAATTAGAGCTGTAGGTGGTTTACTTTAACTACACTCGTAGTTTTGTAGCTAAAATATCTTTGTAGTCAAGTCAATTTGTATGGCAGCAAGTCGATTCAAGGTATAGATACAATTGTAGCTATCCTGGCTTCAAAGCTGCTTATATTTATGTCATTATCATATTTTGTTAACACAAAGTATTGTCTGTAAATTGGCTTGACAGAATCATTGATGTGTGTATATTAAGAAGCTTTGTGGCTAAATTCTAGTATTAACTTATACAAAGATGTTTAGACGGATTAAAAAACAAACAAAAATGTTTCTTTATTCAGTTTCTACAGTTTTAAGTTGAGTAAATGACATGCATGAGTTAGTTTCAGAATGACTGTGTTTTCCTTTGTCAGCTGGAGGAAATAAAGCTAAGCTATTCTTGCTTTGTGGTCACAGAAAGCATTAAAAGCCACTGTGTGCAAAACCAAAGGACAGCTATTCATTGCATTGCACTTTCAAATAACTGGAAATGACAAATGGTCACTTAAGACCAGTATGACAGACTGAACGCTGGCTACCTGAGCGGATAGCCCAGCTAATTAAACACCTGATAACTTGTGTTGCACTTTAGAAAGCAACAATAGGACTAATTTGAACTTTTCTGTTTTTAAAATCAAGTTAACAGATTATATATTTTTGCTATGTAAATTCTGCAATACTGTGTAATGTAGTTATGTATAATGCTACTAGTATTCCTTACTGCGTCACGCCTAAAGTGGAGTAATAGAAGTGGAAAGTTTAAGAAGTACAAAAATAGGGCCGAGGGGAGATTACCTGCGCTGAGAAATCGATGAGCTTTGGTAGTTTCAGTCTGCTTCCTGCGTCACTCTTTAAAAAGTCCAGGAGACTTCCTAAACACAGGACAGAATAAGCTGTTAGCTGTGAGAACATTACGGCAAGCCTATGTTTAACTTTAACATACTGAGATATTTGTTGTTGGTGTGCTATCTCAAGTAATCCTCTTCATACAATCTAAGATGTACAAATGCAAAGCGGCTCTTTCGTTTTATTTGGGCGTTTGACTCGATGGATGATATCAAATTGTCTCAAAGCGTTTTACCTTCCACCTCCGTGGACGGCAAAACAACAAAGCGTGGCTCGGTACCGTTTGCCATGAATTCGGTGATGATGTAGATGGGCTCGGTCTTGGTGACGACGGCGTAGAGCCGCACCAGTCTGTCGTGGTGCAGCGTCTTCATCACGTTGGCTTCTTCCATGAACGCCTCGGCGGTCATGGTGCCGGGCTTCAAGGTCTTCACGGCCACTTTGGTTGCATTGTTGTAGTAAGCTGACGCCGCACAGCGTGAAAACAGGAAACGGGGAATAGAGTATACTGTTAGAGATCTGTTGAAATGAGACTTAGTTTATTTGTTTTTGTTGTGTTTTTAATGTGCCAAACAAACACTTTAACGAACTGGATAAGGCAAACGTCTTCCACATTCAGTACGGTACACTGCATATTGAGCGACAGGTGAAAACTTCAACTTAGAATGAAGGTGAAGTGTGCAGTATGCTTCGTTTTCTGTTATAACAAACAGAACAAAAGGATTTTTAGATGAAGACATTTCTGTAGCAAGTTGATCTCATGTTCAGTAGGTAATCCAACCCCTACTGTAACCTGTAGGTCGGCCATGTTGAGCTACAGCCGAGCTGCAGTCAGCTCGACTAACAAAATCCAACTGAGGTTCAAGTTATTCTCTTAAAAATTTGCAATTGTTAGTCACCGGTTATCTGCAGAAATATCAGGGAACTTAGTGAAATGTGTCTCAAATCTACAAGTCAAGTCTGAATAGAAATGTATTAAAGTCAAACTGTATTATGATTATCACATCTGTTGTGGTTGCACAACTTTCACAAGGAAAACAGAAAGGTTTGCTCATAATCTGGACTCTGAAAGTTTAGATCATACTGCAGATTTTTCAAACATTATACTTTAATAGTCTCTGAACTTCCAATGCAAATAAGTCTTTGAGTTCCCCCCCCCCCTCTATGATAACAAGTTGACCTCCAAAGCACATATACCAGGATAGACTCATTTCTGTAGGTCATCAAATGATCCAGGTGTAATAACATCCATCAGAGTCGAGTCGTGAAATTCATAGGCATTTGTCTTTTTCAAGTTAAGATCTGTAATATAAGAGATTTTGGACTCTGAAACCTTTTGCAGAGAGACTTTAGTGAAATGTTTCTCCGGCACAAAGCAGAAGTCTATTTAAAGGCACGGCATAAAATGTCCTGCAATGATGAGCTATTTAGTTCTCAGGCTTATTTAGACACACAGCCGTCACAATAGGAAGTGCTCTGAGGCGTCAAGATTGCAGTCGGCCACAGAATCTAAACCACTTACTTTGCCTACTGCACAGCAAAAACCCTTTCCAGGACTGGAGTTTGAGATTCAGTTAAACCAAGAACACCTTCTTGGTTTAATAATAAAAAAAAGGTTCTTGAGAAATGAATAGATCTGATTAATTTAAATGTTTTGCTCCTTTCTTACCCATCCACACTTCTCCAAACTGTCCCGCTCCCAGTTTCTTCACGAACTTTATCGAGTCTTTGGAAATCTCCCAGGCGTCTTTGTCCCACGGCCGCTGGGCTTTGGGTTTCACGCACGGACGCTCCAGTTTGCGGCACAGACCGTCCGACCTGGCTGAGAGGCACAAAGGCACTTTTTATTTTTTTTGGTGTTTTCTTGTGATGATTAAGTGTAAATTTAACCTTAACACCTCACTCTATTCATGAAGCGCTACAAAGCGGAAGCTAAAGACTCATTAGTCGTGGAAAGCATAAAAACTGAAAGTAAAATAAGTTTGGCTACTTGGAAAGTAATTTATTTTCTGGGAAACAAAGACAAGGAAGCAATATCCTGAGAAATCTGGAAAGGGGAAAATGCATTTTCAGCACATATTAGCTAGCAATTTTTTTTGGCTTTTGAATGTGTCATATGATGTAATTTCCTCCTTTCAAACTGAGATGCACCCAAATTGGCACAAAAGCATCCCTGCAGTTTGATCTAGAAATGACAACAAATAAGGGAGCATTAAATATGAAATCGTATTGTAACGATACATAACTGAGGAGCAATATTTACCAATAAATTTGCTCTTGGTTGTCACAAAGAGGATTACAATCCAAGCAACATTTCAAAATGTTGGTTACTGTATGTTCCCTTCTGACCGTCACTCTAAAAACAAAATTCCCAAACTTTTCCAGTATTTTCTAATCCTACAGTGGGAACCGGCAAGTCTGAGTCAACATGCCGTGACCTCACTCTCAGCTGTGATTTCAAGCTTTTTCCCCTTCTGTTCCCGATCCATACTCACTGTGGTAATGTTTGAGCATGCTGCTGATGTCCGGGAAGGAAATTTTGGGAGAGACGTAGAAGCCGCCGTTGTCCAACTTCCTGATTTTATAATGTTTCACCGAATCCATGCCCTGGCCATCGACGTCTCTGATTGACAAGGAGAAATTCCCTGTGTGGGGAGGAGAGAGGGAAGGGAACAAGTCTCACTCTGAACCCCAGATGCTGAATTGTGAAGGAATTTTGTGGGAAAATTGTTTAATACCTTTGGATGTTTCGCTTTCCCTGATAAGATAAGAGCCTGGTTTGTTTGCGGGAGCCAACAGCTGCCTCTCTGCATCCTTCCTTGTGATGTCTTTGAAAAACCACCTGCAATGATTTCAGAGTGATTTTTATTTTATTTTATTTTATGTTATTTTATTTTTTTACAGTGAGATGCATTAACGCAGTAACGTTGTTGATAAGGCAAAGTTAAAACTTTCATCCAACATCATACTCACTCTTCCGTTTCCATGGTATCGACTTGGGCAACGTAATTGGATGGGATGAATCCTTCTTTGTTGGACGTTAGAGACTTAGCTTTCCACCAATCACCGTGTCTGAAAACAAACAGGGAAAACATTTCCTTACATTTATGCCAAAACACATTTTCTGACGATATTATGCCAAAAATAATTATTCAGTTCAACCCAGCTTACACAGTCTGGAAGAGGTTTGTCTTTTTCCCCTGCACCCAAAGCAGTAAAAAAAGTTTCCTATTATTTTGTGGACGCTCTCAGGCGCCGTTCACAATATAATCACTGGACTAATTGACACAAATCCCGTGATTTGTGTCAAATCCAGCATCTATCCATTTCCTGGAGATTGAAGTGACGCCAATCTCCAGCGAGACGCAATTTCTGCACAATCTCACATAAAGGCATTTTAGTCAAACCAGTTCACCTCACAGTCAAGAATTTGGAGTGTAGGAGAAACATTATTTCCATGCTGAAGATTCTGACTTAACTGTGAAAGATACTGTTATTTATCTAGATGTATTTGTGCAGGAACAGGACATTAAACTACATTAGAGTTAAGAGTGACCGTTGTCCCGTCTACCGGCCGTCTGGTCAAAGGCTAATTTGCAGAACTGCTCAACAAAGATTCCTTCTAAAGACAGAAGGACTTGGACCTCGAGGTCACTCTGACTTTTATCGCTCCTGACAGAATGTAGAACTACCAAGACACAGTTTGAGCTGCATGAGTCCGAGTTAGAAATCAGCCCACTTACTCTTCCAGGATTTTCATCTTCTCTCCTTTCTTGAATCCTAAATCGTCTTGATGCAACGCCTCGTAAGGATAAAGACCAATCACCACTTTTAAAGTTGACTCTTTCTCTAAAGCAGAAAAAACACGGAGGTTGACATTTTTAAACACCAACGCAATATAAAGAGTCCCTCAGTAACACACAGTGGTTGTAAAGCAAGTTTGAACAGGATCGAAACATTAGAAGTGTTGATTATGAAGAAATAACCTTTTTTTTTTTTTTTTGCATTTGAATAAATGAATGGCAACTATTTAGATCTTCTCTCTCAATAGTCAATGGAAATATATTTGATGGAATTACAGCGATCAAGATTTCTGACCAGCTCTTTGCATGTTTCTGCTGATATTCTGATCCTCCACGTCTGCGAGGCCGGCCTCTTAAAATGTTTAGATTGTTAAACCGGAATAAAGGAACTTGAGAAAAACGTTTCTTTTTCTGTAATTTCATCTTGCATGACAGGACTAAATTAGAAAACAAATCAAATGGAAAGGTGATTGTGGTACAGAGTGAAAATTTCCAAGCGTTAACTGTTTGTTGTGATATCAGTGAAAAATGCTGACTTTTTAATGCTATTATGGTTATGTTGTTTGTTTGTTTTTTCCCTCGTTAAGTCGCTTTTAGCCGTCAGCTTACTTTACTCCAGGTAACATAGGAACACTTTCACCAGATATGCAAAGTAAATGCAAGAGGGAAAGAAGGGATACCTTCCATTTGCTGGAACCTTTGACCTGGTAGCAGGGAGTTATTCTGTAAAGAAAAGCACAACATCAGATTTTGAATTGTATTTTTATTTTAGTTGATTTAAAACAGCTTTTGCACACATTCAGAATGTGTTCATTTCGCATTTCCAGACCATAATCGTCGTCATTGGAGAACGGGAAGTTCTGACCACTTGGGGAACAATTTAGTCATCTTATTGCGAAACGGTGGAAACCTTCTTAGTTTAGAACAGAGATTGAACCGTTTCTGCGAGCGTTCATGCTTTTAATTTACTTATTTATTTTTTAAACGTTTAAGACACGTTTGTGTCACATCTGTTCGGGTTCAGAGCTGCAAACGGATTCCTCCTGGGCTCAGCTTCCTTTCTACTCACCCTGTTGGTGTTGAAGGTGGGGTCTCTGACGTAGTGTGCCGGCTCCGGTTTTTCGGCCTGCTGTCTGATTTTGCTCTCCACACCGCTCGCCAGGCCGCCGCTCAGCGTGGACTTCAGACAGCCCATCCCGCCTGCTGGGGTCGAGAGGCTGGGGGAAGAGAGAAAAGGGAAGAGCGGCACAGTCTGTTAAAATGAACGGCTGCTCAAACAAAACGGGCACCTGCGTTTTTTGTTTTTGTTTTTTTTTGTTTTCGCTTCTTTGCAAGTCCAAATATTTCTGATGCGATTTTTGTGTCAGATGGAGCCTGAAGCTGCTAATACCAGTTGTGAAGCAGCCAGATGTTTTGTTTCAATTTGTTCCTATTTTTCGTGAGGGTAAAAAAATAAAATAAAAAAATGTAAAAGGGAGTAGAGATTCTCATTCAGGGCCATATTTCAGATTTTTGGAATGCATTAGAGGTCGTGAAAAGAAAAAAAAATTACGATTTCGATCCGAACTGGAAACTCTGGAGGAGCTGCAGAGACCCACAGCTCAAGTCCACAGAACTATGAGAGAGTCGTGCTCTTCAGGAAAACATCAAGCTATTGCAACAGTAGCACATTGGCGGTGTGAGTGTTATGCAGGAAGCTGGTCAGAGCTGATGAGAAGATGAAATCCTCAGCAGAACATGATGTAAACAGTCGGAGCTTATTTTTTACTCCAGATGCCCGAAAGCATTGACCTTTGCGCGACCCACTTTTTCTTTTACAATTCTTGTTTTGCCACCTTCTACTTAATTGTTCTGAAAGTTTTATTAGTTGTTTTTCACGGTTACTCGTTTTCTTTCTGCTTGTCATTATCACTGAGATTGCCGCGCTGCATTTTCTGACTTCCCTGAACTCGGCCATAAAGGTCATAAAGACTTTTATTACCTCTACATGCGGAAACTATATAAATCACAGACTGACTTTCACATCGAAACTGCCTTCGTGATTAAGATTAATAATTTTGTGCAAAATGGAAATATTTACGACATCTACCTTCTGCTTCGTGGTGACCGTTTCTGTGATAATCTTTGAAAAGATTCAGTTTATTTTACAGAGACAGGCTTTTTTCTCTCTTTACATCACTTCGCTGGACACGTCTCCTGATTTGTTTAACAACCATAAGTGTCTCTTTGAATCTCCCGTTATGGATCTTAATAATTTTGGCTAAAAATGTGAAAGAACAAACTAAAGATTTTAAATAAAGATATAACAACAAATGCATATTTTAACAGTTTTTCATTTGTTTTCCGGTAACAATTTTTTTTTTTACAATAGAACGACACCAAAATAGTCAGTAATACTGGAAATAATATAGTAATAATAATATAGTAAAATTGGAAATGTCAACATCCCAATGAAGAAATTGTATTATTTCTCTCTTGGATAAAGTATTTTTCTTCTTTTTAGAACCTATAAACTAAAATAAAATGGCTTTTTTTTTTTTACCCGACTACAACATATTTCTTTCGATATGCGTTTCTGAAAATTATAAAGTCATGTAATATTTGTGTCACTCAGCGGGTTTTATTTAGATGGAGAGTAAAGGTTGTGAACTTCTGCTTTAGTCAAATGGAAAATGGGGGGGAAGAAAAACTCAAATGAAATTATACAGCATCCATGTAAAACAAATGAACAAACAAACAAAACAAAAAGGTCAATAGAAAGTTGTGCAGAATTCAATACGGTTGTTTGGATTGGTGGATTTTGATGAACTAATCTTCACAAAAACAAATGAATAAAAAGAATCTGACTGCCTGGTCAGAAATGGCAGCAATAATATTACGCATCACTGCACTTTCTGTGCTGATGCAGGATGAAACCCTGCACACTAAAATAGATCGACGATGCATAATGACACCAAATTATTGACGTAATACGCGACGCAAACGAAGCAGAAAGAAACAAATGTGGCAGGCATTTGAATTACCGTCGCAAGTATTCCCCTGGAAAGTTTTATACCTGCACTGCACACGTAAAAGCAAGAACACCGATCAGAAGCTTAAACTGGGACGCAGAACAGAGCTTCACCGTAAAATCATTATGATTTGTAAATTTCGTTTTTACTTTTTTGCTTGTATTCCTGTTTGGCACACGAGCAAAGCGCGGAGAGCAGGATATCGAGAGCCGCTCTTGAAACCAGTCTGACGTGTTTGTCCTTGCGGGACACGAGAAATAAAATTCAAACTACCGAGACGTTTCCCACCACTTTGCATTTTAACTAACGGCAATAATAAACAAGTCATGATATGAGCTGCTGACTGACTCCCACTAAAGAAGACCGTTCTTTTTAATACTTTATAAACTAAAGGTGGAACAGTTAAATGGTTATTTAACTTATTTAACCAGGTTGTTACAACTTTGCTGATTTTTTTTTTTTTTTTTTTGCATTTTCCTTTTGCTATTTTATTTTTGCAACTGATTTCTACAGGATGTACACATTAAAGGTGGAAAAAGAAAGTTCTGGAATTATTTCTAATAATCTTATGTGAACAAAACATCTGGCATTTTAGCAAGGTTGTGAGCGTACAGGGCTCGACGACCGTTCCTCTCTTTTCCTAATTCTTATAGCGATTTGGTCCCTTAGTTACTTCAAATAAATCCCCTCAAGAGAATCGACGCTAACTCAAGGCATTCTGAGTCGGCGTGCTGAGGTCATCGCCCTGGATGCACGCAGCCAAAATCAATTGCAGTTGTCAATTCCTCGAATCTGACTGCACGACAGAAGTTGTAAAACAGAATATAAATAGTAGGAGCAAAAAGTAGAGAGGAACTTGCGACACTTTAAACTTCTGCCGAAGTTCTGCGTTGTGTACCAGGCATGGTCTGCAGTAAAATGCAGATGTGCAAATGCAAAACACATATGTGATAACATGTAGATGTGTTTTATAAAACATAATCTGGTGTTGATAAAATGTGCGTTTCCTCTCTTTGTTTAGTGTGGTTCACCAACGGCTATTTCATCAAGACGGATTCTATTGTCTCACATGCAGGATATTTGGTGACGTCGCATGACTTTGTCTGTGTTTCTGTTTCCACCTGTTACATTAAATCTACTTGTGTTCTGTTGGGTTTCAGTAAACAGGTTCAGCTGTAAGTTAAATCGCTGCCAATTTTAGGTCAAATTGAAAGCCAATAAAAGAAAATTACAAGCAGGAGTTTGCAACCTTTACAAGAATGCAACCGAGTCGAACTCTGACTCGAAATAAACTCTGCGAGTGGAAATCGGATAAGTCAGAATTTATGAGGGATCAGTCTAAATCTTTCGGTGAAAATCCAACCCAAAAGTGTTCGCTTTGGATCGGATCTTTTCAGATGAATTGCAAGTCAAATCAAACTATCATTCTGTTCAGCTTCAATCAGCTGTACTTGTGTAGTGCAAATCAGATGCTGCTCAGTAAACCTACCTGAGATCGGCCAAGAGAAAAACGACGATTCATTAGTTTAATTTAAAGATCAACACTTGAGTCAAATAGGAGGAACCCAAACACAAAAAATATTCCTATTTTTGTCAGGACTTTGCCGCTCCAATCATTTCAGAGCAATAAAAGATTCACTGCCCTCGTTTCATCAATGTGGCTTCTGGTCGGACTATTTCTGCTAATCGGCGTCCAGGCCGCAACCTGCCAGATCCATCGCTATAGTTACACCAGCGTGGACACAAAGGTACAGGCAACCTCAAAACCAAACCACGAGCATTAAAAAAACTAAACAAAAAAAAAAAGTTTCCTGTTCTGACTATCTATCATGGAGCACACTTTCAGCAGATGCCACAACTAACTGGCTTCTTGTGCTATAGAGAAGAGGTATATATTTAGACACTACTGATTCTAACATTCACCTGGAATTGGTGAATGTCAGGATTACACATTCTGTCACCAGAGTGAGAAGGAAGGAACATGCCACCACTTGCAGCAGCAATATTTCTATTTTTGCGCAGGTTATTATGATGGATTATCATGATGTAGAAAGAGTTATTTACACCAGCAAATACCCTGTGGCCATAAGGAAACAAGATAAGCATGCCGACGACTGAGTGAATCTTAAATCGAGGCAAAGATCCTTCAGTGGAGAGAAGTGACATTACTGCAAAAATCTGTGAAGTCTTGATGAATTAACAGAGTATATCAAACGGCAAGATGGGAAAAAAAAAAAAGTCCAACACTTCCAGAGGGCAAAATAAAAAATATCTATGCATAACGAAAGCAGAAGTTAGAAAAAATATAGGTGATAATCTTAATAGTAATGATATTTTTTTCAAAATGGGAGCAGGAAAACAATTTCTGCTCCTATCCAGAAAAACAAAACGGGTCGTCTAGGTCAATGGATGCTCTTTAGAGTCCAGGAGACCGGTTTGGGAAAAAAAACAAAGAAGGAAACGTATCAACGGCCAAAAGGAATCATCAATGCAGCTCTGTTAGGAGTTTTACATACACTTCCTATCCACTGTCCACATAAAGGTCATATTAATTTTTTTATTTCTGAGGTTTTTTTTATTTTTTATGACATTGGATGAACATCCAACCCACTCGTGTATATATTTACACACCTCCACTAATATCTGGATAAAAGATCCTCAGGGGAAAAAAAAAAAAACAAAAAAAACACGCACACACAAAAAAAAAAAAAAAAAAAAA